ATATTTGCATGACCGAGACTTAAACCTGAAAGCTTTGTAACTTTTCCCACAGTGATTCAATAAATAAATAAATTTTTTAAAAAAAAGAAAAAAAAGTCAACGGCTACCAAGAAGAGTCAGATCCTTCCTCGCCTTCAGTAGAGCATCTTTCTGTCCACTGTGCCTCTTGGAGCTCCCACAGAGCTGTGTACCACCCTACATCCCATACAAATGGGTTACAGCAGAAATGTGGGCCAGGATCTTTCTTCTGCCTCCACTTTGATGTAAAGGCCTATGCATCTCTGGGGTTCTAACAGAAAACTGGTACGGGCTGAACGATACTGCAGTAGCCGGGTGCTTGCCTTGCACGTGGTCAACCCTGGCTCCATCTTAGGTACCCCAGATGGTCCCCTGGGCACTGCCAGATGTGACCCCAAAAAACCTAAAACTGATGGGCAGTGTCCACAAGACCCACTGCCCTCCCACTCCTCCCCCAATCCCCGCCCCACACCCTTTCCCTGACCTGCTTACAGGAATCAGCTCCCAGCTCTCTCACATGGTTACCAACCCCAAAACAAAGCCCACTGAAATATCCGAGGAAATTTAACTCTAAAGCACAAGGGACAGAAGTCCAAGGGATCAAGTCCATCAAAAACCCTCACATAAGAACTGATTTCTATCCGAATACTGATCATGGTTAAGAGTACTGATACTTGTTAAGAGTATGATCGCTTATGTGGAATATTAATTTTAGTTTCTTAAAACTTTCTTCTTGTCAGTGGCAGGCTGTTTTGTCAGGAAAGCTAGGAGTGATGATTTCTTCCATTATTAGTTAACTTAGCCTTGATCCTTTGGCTAAGATAGGGTTATTTTGTTTATCTCCAGCGTGGTTTCCATTGAAATTCACAAATAATCTCTATGAAGACACTTGACCAACTATCCACCAAACATTTTATGACCTTTGTTTATTCTTTCTGAATCCATTACTGTGGCTTTTACTATATAAATAATTTATTTCATTATTTCTTTTCATTTTATTAATTGGTATTATATTATTTAGATTAAATTATTATTTAATTAATTAAATATTATTAAATGTTATATTGTTTAATATAATTGGCATTATATTAAATCAAGCTCCCGGAAGAGAACAAGGCAGAGTCTCCTGCCCCAGCTTCTGGCTGTCCTCACCAGGGCACCTTGGAGGAGGGCGGGTTGAGTTTCCCTCTCCACCCTGAGCAGAGCCCCGAGAGCTGAAGACCTCCAGGACCCAGACAAAGTCATGCTGAGACCACTCTCCACTCTTGGATGAGAAACTGGCAGAGGAACCTAGGTGTGCAGGACTCGGGGCTGAGATCTACAAGCCTCTTCGGTTCGGGACTGGGCCTCCTCCACCCAACTCCCCCACCTTTCAGTAGCTAGACAGTTACACCCACCAACTGCCGTGTAACCCCATCAACGCCCATCCAAAGACTATAAAACCAAGCTCCCAGAAGAGAACAAGACAGAATCTCAGAACAAGTGCCTGACTAGGTAGGAACACCTGTAACGGTGATTAGAGGCTGTCCCAAAAGCCTCCATCCATGTCAGAGAGCCCGGTAAGCTACCAAGAGTATCCCGCCCACACGGCAGAGCCTGACAAGCTCCCCATGGCATACTCAATATGTCAAAAACAGTAACAATGAATGGTCCTCATTCCCCTGACCCTGAAGGAGCCCCCAATATGTCATTGGGCTACACTTGCACCAGGACAAATGGAGACGTTACTGGGCCCGCTCGAGCGAATTGAAGAACAACAGGGTGATAGTGATAGTGATTATTTAGAATTTTAAATCTCTGTTCTAAACACACCCCCTGGTGCCGTGTAATCCCATCAACGGCCAAGACCCAGAGACTATAAAACCCAGCTCCTGGAAGAGAACAACGCAGAGTCTCCTACCCTCGCGCCTGGCTGTCCTCTCCGGGGCCCCTTGGAAGGGAGTGGATTGAGTTTCCCTCCCCACCCCAACCAGGGCTCTGGCAGCCGAAGACCTCCAGAACCAGCCACCACCATGCTGAGACCACTCTCCGCATGCATGAAGGTACCGGCAGAGGAACAAAGGCACGCGGGTCCCGGGACTGAGATCTCCAAGCCTGTTCGTTGCCAATCGACGAACAACAGGATGGTCGTTCTAAACCTAGATATTCACAATTTAACTTCTCGATGGAAATATGAAAATAAAACAAAAATGTTTATCATTAAACATTTATTACTAAACATCTAAACTAAATTTGATTATACAGTATAGTCTTTTATATTTGTTAACCAAAACAATGAATACAAACAAAACTAAAGTTCTTCCAATATAAAAGTAAAACCCCCCATGCAAATGGTTGTTAATGCATAAGCCTACTATTTGTTTTGTATTAAACATTAAACACCAGCATTGATCATTTTTAACATATTTTTCTTTTTAGCATTCATTTATAAACATGATTTATGACCATTTAAATATACTATCCATAATATTTAGTTCTGAAACATAAAATTCTGAATAAGATTATGTTTCATGAGAAAAGAGTTAAAGTTCAGCGAATGAAGAACAAACCCCCCAAATGGACAAGCTAATGATCCCAGTTGACATTAGTAGCTGATAATAAAACATTCTCAGAGTATAGATCCAATCTCCTAGTTGTTACAAGCATGCTAACAAAGATAAATTTTCTAACACAATTTAAAAATAAAACCACGCTTCCTTCTATGTATATTATCCAGGATATGGGGGGAAAAATGTTCAACAGCAGATAAATGGATAAAGAATATTCTTAAAGCTGTGTTTGTATGAACACAATGGTACACTATGCAGATATGGGGGGGGAATCAACATATATTATTCTGGAAGGGATGACAATGTATATGACTCTGGGTCTTGCTAAGCAAAATGAGTCATTTTGAAAAAGACAAATACCAGATGATTTTATTGCGTGTCAGGAAAAGGATCAAAGCAGGAGAACAGACAAAACCAAAGCATATTATTGGGCTTTGATTTCGGAAATGAAGTGACAGAAAAGGAAGCAGAGAAGGATTTGAAAGAGTAGAGAGAATCCCAAACACAGTCATCGTGGAGGGCTATTGGCATTCAGGTGTTAGGTGTGTTCGACAAACATTTTGAAGAAATGCAAAATTGTAACAGTAAAAGATTTGCAGTCTTAGAAATGGACTATGTGTTAAACCGCGCCACCAAGCTTGCCAGGAGGGGAAAGGCTGTTGTCCCACTCGCCTGCTCCTCTCTGGAAAGAAAGATGGCGGCCGCACAGGAGCCTTGTGGACAGCAGGTTTGAGCCGGGGGCGGGGGGCAGCAGGGGCCTCATGGGAAGGGGGGCGTTCTGGGCCGTCCTTCATGCCCGACCGAGGTCACCAGCTGCCCCCCACAAGCGGCTCTCTGGCACGGCCACGACTCCAGAGCACAGAAACCAATCTCTTAACTATCTAACTTTTAATAGAAATACTTCCAGGGTTAATAAGTGAAACAGCAGAAATCCAAAACCGCAGTCAGGGCCGCGCGACATAATTTTATTCTTAAACCAAGCTGTAGAAAGCAAATCATTTCACAACACTGTTTCAGCATATCTGATTGGGGGGGGTCGTAAACTCTAAACAATAATTGTGCATCTTCTATCAAAACAATGTATCTAGTCAAAGTAGATAGAGTATTAACTAGAACTCATCTGCCCCACAGGAATTGGGAGGGGTGGGAGGTGGGGTTCTATTAGGGTTCACAGTTAAAAATAAGTATTGGTAAAGGGAAATGTGTTTGATACTTACATGACTGAGACCTAAACCCAAAAGCTCTGTAACTTTTCCCACAGTGATTCAATAAAGAAATAAACTATTTAAAAAAAAAAAAGAAATGGACTTTCCCTGTCCAGAATGTCAGACAAAATGTCAAGAGTAATAGTAACTAGACAGAATTCTGGTTTTTACAGACATTGGTGCTAGGTAGCAATTTTATGTGTTAAAATAAACATTGTTTTTGAGAAAGGAAGGAAGGAAGGAAGGAAGGAAGGAAGGAAGGAAGGAAGGAAGGAAGGGAGGGAGGGAGGGAGGGGAAGGAAGGAAGGAAGGGAGGGGAAGGAAGGAAGGAAGGAAGGAAGGGAGGGAGGGAGGGAGGGAAGAAAGAAAGAAAGAAAGAAAGAAAGAAAGAAAGAAAGAAAGAAAGAAAGAAAGAAGGAAGGAAGGAAGAAAAGAGAATTTCCCTTGATAACAAAAATGTAATTACTTGTTTGAGGGTCAAAATTCAGCCACCAGGAACCAGAACCTAGTATAGCAGTTTGGGCATATTTGGAACATGCACCTGACCTAGATTTGATGCCAAGAATGACATGGTCCCCAGAGCATAACCAGGGGCATGTGTAGAGTTTCTGATTCCCAGCTGGGTGCCTTCTGCCATCCCCAGGACCAGGAGTCTGAGCAGTACGACATTGGCGAGGCCTTCCAAGGAGTCACCAGCCTGGTGGCCAAGAATCGCCAGTGGGACCTCAGGACTCCTGAGTACTACTTGGCACCCCCCCACACACGCCATCTCTCCCAAATTCAGAGTACAAGTGCTGACTTTTATACCATGGAATTCTAAGGGTGGAAATCAATGTAGCTACGTTTGCATTGAAATTTTTTTTCTTTCATTCCCAACTAACTGTGTCTAACAGATTCAATTTGCACATAACTTTTTAAATACTTAATGTGTAATCACTTAACACATTAATGTTTGACAGATTAAACGTTTTAGCACATTGAGTGTTTATATATTAAACATGTAAACTCTAGTCCTTAGATCTCAAAAAATTTTAACCTGTACGTTAATTGAACTCAAGTTTCTGAGATCTTAAACTGAAATTTCTACTAGGTTAACACTGCACCCAAAGAGGAGGCAGGCAGAACCCTTACCTACAAGAAGGTTGCCTCAAGTTTTCCAGAAGGACAGCCAACAGCAAAAACTATCAATTCAAGTTAACTTGGACAATTAAGTTTCAGATCCAAGAAAATGCAAAGTCCTCAGCTTCAGAGAGTAATCGGGTATTTCCATGGGACAGTATTTTTATTCAGTATCATAATAGGTGCAGGAATATTTATGTCTCCTAAAGGAGTTTTGAAATACTCCTCACTCAACGTGGGGGTCTCCCTCAGTATCTGGGCCGCCTCTGCTGTGGTGTCTGTGATGGCAGCCCTCTGCCATGCCGAGCTGGGAACCACCTTTCCAAGAAGTGGAGCACAGTATTTTTTCCTCAAAAGATCTCTGGGCCCTCTTATTGCTTTCTTTACTGTCTGGATTAACCTATTTAGTGCCCCAGCAGAAAATGCTGCCTTCAGCTTATTACTAGCAGGGTATATCATACAGCCTTTCTACCCGGGATGTTCCGTTCCTGAACTGCCCAAGAAATGTTTGGCTTTAGCCATTCTGTGCTGTTTGGGAATCCTGAACGCCCGAGGAGTGCGAGGGATCGCTTGGTTTCAGACTGTCACGACCGCCGTGAAAATGATGGTTCTCTGCTGCATCTCTCTGACTGGAATCGTGCTGCTGGTGAAAGGGAAGAAAGAAAACCTCGCCGCTTTTGAGAAAGCTTTTGATGGTGAAATTCCAGACGCCGCACAGATAGCAGAGGCCTTCCTCCAAGGATTATATGCGTATTCAGGCTGGGGAGTCCTTGTGCGAATAGCAGGTAAGATTCAAATTTTTTTAATTCTAAAAAATCAACCTGAGATGACAATGAACACTGATAAAAAATTTAAGCATCTTCAGTCTAAGAGAAAAAAAAAAATACTAGATTGCTTTTGATATAGTGTGTTTCTTGGTTTGATCCACTAGGTGGAATGCGTGAAACTCTGCAAAGGTCAGTTTTCAAAGTTGGGAATTAAGATTTTCCAGTCTTTGTGTTTTTTTTTTCCAAATTAAAACAAATGAACCAAAGCTAAGGAGTGCAAAGATTTCCTGTGACTGCATTCTTTTATTGAAAAAGAGAAGTTCAGTCTTAAAATCTTTTTCTTGGAATGGAGAGAAAATGCGAATGCAGTGAGCTGTTAGTATGCATGTAGGAGACCCAGGCTCAATCCCCTGCACAACACAGTTCCCCGAAGACCCCCAGAAGTGAACCCTGAACATAGAGCCAGAAGTTGCCCCAAAGCACCAATGGAAGTGGACCCAAGACCAGTGAAAAGAAAATAGAGGGGCTGGAGCAATAGCACAGCGGGTAGGGCGTTTGCCTTGCACGCGGCCGACCCCGGTTCGATTCCCAGCATCCCATATGGTCTCCTGAGCACCACCAGGAGTGATTCCTGAGTGCAGAGCCAGGAGTAACCCCTGTGCAATGCCAGAGTGTGACCCAAAAAAACAAAAAAAGAAAATAGAAAAACATCTTTTTTTGTGTTGTTTTCTAATCATTGGTTCATCTTATCTTATGGAATTGTGGAGTTCCAGGTACTTAGTTTCATGATTTTTGCTTGTTTGTTTGGGGGCCACACCTACCCAGTAATGCTCAGGGAATGCTTCTGACTCTGCACTCAGAAATTATTTCTGACAGTGCTTGGAGAATCATAAGTGATGCAAGGCATTGAACCCAGGTCAGTCACATACAAGGCAAGTACCTTACCCACTGTGCTATCCAGTCTCTAGTTTCATAATTTTGCACGTGTATCATATTCACTGTATCCATGATCAAAGTTTCAGTGCTATCCATCATCATCTACCCATTCCTTCTACTCCCTCACTTACACTTTTGGAAGCTACCATAGATTTTACCTAGATTAGAAATAAGCTTTATTGTTTTCTCTCAATTACTTTGTATTCATATTTCACAAGAGTAGAACTATCCAATAATTGTCTTTTACTAGCTTACTTTACCTACTATGAACAACTACCTAAAATTCGCCCACTTCCAGTGAACATTGGAGTAGTTGGTTTTTGTTATTATTGAGATTTGAGAGCACTTCCTGTATCCTCGATATTATCCCTCTATCTGATGTTCATGTGCAAATATTTTCACCCAATGAGTGGGCTGTCTTTTTATTTTAAACTTCACTTCTTTTGCAGTACAGAAGCTTTTCAGCTTTTCAAAAAATAAACATATTTGTTTATTTTACTTTGTTTCTGTTTTTTGTTGCTTTACAAATGATTTGTCATTAAAGATTCCTCTGAAGTCTTAAGAGAGTCCATGTTTTCCTCAATGTATTTTAAAGAAAGAGGTATAAACATTAATCCCAAAGACATATGCATACTTTCCTTCATCAAAACTGTCACTGTCTTCCCGTTGTTCATAGATTTGCTTGAGTGGGCCCAGTAACGTCTCCATCGTGAGCCTTGTTGTTACTGTGCTTGGCATATCGGATACACCATGGGTAGTTTGCCAGACTTTGCCATGCAGGCGAGATACCCTAGGTAGCTTGCTGGGCTCTCTGAGAGGGGCGGAGGAATCGAACCCGGCTCGGCCGGGCGGGCTGCTCTCAAGGCAAACACCCTACCGCTGTGCTATCGCTCCAGCCCACCATATTTGCATCATGAAAAAAGAATTTTTTTTTCTTTTCTCTCTTAGATATGGATAACTAAATCTCAATGGTAGAGATCGCTTTTTTCTTCGATTAACAAGAGGAAGACATAAATTTTCATACTACTTACCCCTTTTCCATGTAAGAAGATAGTTATTTTTCCATTTTCACTCTTTTAAGTTTGCTTGTGAGATTTTTAAGGGCTAGAGACATAACACAGTGGGTAGGGCATTTGCCTTGACCCTGGTTCCGTCCCCAGCATCCCATATGATCACCAGGAGTAATCCCTGAGTGCAGAGCAGAAAGAACCCCTGAGTATTGCCTGTTGTGTCCTAAGCCCCCTCTCAAAAAATCAAAGGGATTTTTAGACAAAGTCATTTGGGTGTAGCTCCTGGGGTCTTTCCCTGCAATTCTCAGCCATCCAATCAACAGTTCAATGCAAGAGTCCCAAGGATGCAATGCTGCACACGCCCTGCAGTGCTGGGGAGTATCTGCCACCAGAGCAGGCCTTGGGGACCTCTGCGGCTGCACCCACAAATATTCAAGGGACTTTATGCTGCTAGGTACCAAATATGTGTTGGCCACATACAAGGGATGTGCTTTAATCACTGTACTACCTCTTGGGGCAGCTGGAGCCATAGCACAGTGGGTAGGGCATTTGCCTTGCACTCATCTGGCCCCGCCAACCTGGGTTCAGTTCCTCTGCCCCTCTCCAAGAGCCCAACAAGCTACTGAGAGTATCCTGCCCGCACGGCAAAGCCTAGCAAGCTACCCATGACATACTCAATATGCCAAACACAGTAACAACAAGTCTCACAATGGAGATGTTACTGGGCCCACTTAAACAAATTGATGAACAACATGAGGACAGTGCTACAGTGCTACTACTATCTCTTGGGACCCAATGATAAAATTTTTTAATACACAATTTTTTTGTTCATACAACTACAATTGAATCTCTACTGTATCAAACTATGAATATTTAATTTTACATTGTTTTCAGACTTGAAATGTTTTCTCCATTTCAAGGGCTAAGTACATATTTTTCTGTGTTTCTCTTTAAATAAATATTGTCTTATGTTTTTGCTTGACTTTTCAATCAATATGAGGTAATTGTGTAGTGCATATTAATAATTTAATTTTTATCTTCCAAATAAGTACTGTTAATTTTATTATTGACAATATGCTCTCAGATTTAATGCACTATTAAATTAGTCTAGAGACTTAACCCAAAGTGAGAAAAGAGCACAAATGTCTATATATCTCAGAATATTTCAGAATATTGTAATAAGATTAACCATTGAACTATGTTATCCCTTCATTATACATATTTCTACCATGTTGATCACAAAGTCAAGCATTAGCCCCTGTTTTCCTGCCCAAGAGTGCAGGATTTTTGAGCTTTCCTCTGTTTTTCAAGTGATTCATGATGAGTATCTCAGAGATAGAGTATTCAAGCCTCAGAATTTATCACCATTCCCTGACTACTGGAATCAATAATTCACCGAGGATATGATGAACATTCTAAAAGTAAGCTATCTCAAAGCTTTCTTTTTCTATTTTATCATATAAGAATTACTTTCAAAGGTTAAACAATGTCACTTTTAATAAGTGATTTTTTTTCTGTATTGTGTTCATTTGGGGTTTTGTGATTGTTGTTGCAGGAGATCTAAAACAGCCTAGTAAGAATATTCCCAGGTGTGTGATCACTGCACTTACCTTTGTGACGATCATCTACGTATTAGTTAATGTTTCTTACCTGTCAGTCCTGACTCCAAATGAAATCATGTCCTCAGGTAAGTCTACTTAGAACCAGATAAAAGACACTCTATTCTGTTCTCCTGAATAAAAGGGTGTTTCTATTGTATGGTAGATATTTTTGTAAAACTTAAAATAATTGTATTCAATTGGTTCGATTGAATTTTATCTAAGGATAAAATTTTATTTATTTATTTATTTGCTTTTTGGGTCACACCCAGCGATGCTCAGGGGTCACTCCTGGCTCATGCACTCAGGAATCACTTCTGGCGGTGCTCGGGGGACCATATGGGATGCTGGGGATCGAACCTGGGTCGGCCATGTTGGCTTCAGGCAAGGCAAATGCCCTACCTGTTGTGCTATCACTTCAGTCCCAAAAGATAAAATTTTAGATAAACTTTAAACACCAAAGCTTATGTATTTACTTTAGAGCACATACTAAAGCAAATAAAGTCTGGAAACAGAAATATGCAAATTACTGAGACCTGAAAAAGAAAAACAAATGTCAAACTGTCATGTCATGGCTGAAATGAATCCCACTTGGTCATGATGTTGAATATTGTAATGTATATTGCTAAATTTTTGACTGTTGAATTTGATTCACTAAGATCTAGGGCTTTTTGTTATTTGGATTTTTGGGGGTTTTGTTTGTTTGTTTTGTTTTGTTTTTTAGCATTTTGGGTCACACTGGCAATGCTCAGAGGTTACTCCTGGTTCTGAACTTAGGAATTCCTCCTGGCAGTGCTTAGAGGACCATATGGGGTGCCGGGGATAGAACCCTGGTCAGCCGCATACACATGCCTTACCTGCTGTTGTATCACTCCAGCCCTCACTAAGATTTTGTAGAGAATTTTTAAATCTATTTTCACTGGGGATAAGTAGTTTATAGTTTTCTCATTTTTTTTTCTACTTTTGGTTGAGCCTTCTGTGTTAGTGTTGTCATTCATTGAATTTGGTCGCTACTATGGGTTTACCCCATTGGGTTTGATCAGCTCCTGCTGTGCTGGAGGTGAATTTTTGTAGTCAGCATACTGTGACTCCCAACCCCGAGAAAACGTTGATCTTTTCCTTCCCTGCTTCACCCAGACATGGGCTGGAGTAGGGCGTTTGCCTTCCTTGCATGCGGCCAACTCGGGTTCGATTCCTCTGTCCCTCTCAGAGAGCCCAGCAAGCTCTGAGAGTATCCCACCCCCACGGCAGAGCTTGGCAAGCTCCCCGTGGTATATTTGATAAGCCAAACACAGTAACAAGTCTCACAATGGAGACGTTACTAGTACCCACTTAAGAAAATCGATGAACAACAGGAGTACAGGGCTACAGTGCTACAGTTTATTTTAATTAAGCAACCATGATGTTTGCAAATATTCAACTATATTGTTCAAAGTAATTGCTAGTAGATCTGATATAGAGAAGAGATCACCAAGTAAATGATGTTTGGAGGGCTCACTCAGGGTGGGAGATGCGTGCTGAAAGTAGACTATGGACAGAACATGATGACCACTTAGTACCTGTATTGCAAACCATAATACTCAAAAGATAGTGGAAAGGAATGCGTCTGCCACAGAGGTGGGGGGGGGGGGGTAGGGAAGAGGATAGGGTAGGAGTGGCTGGACGGATACTGGGATCATTGGTGGTAAAGAATGGGTACTGGTGGGAGGATGGGTACTTGATCATTGTATGACTGAAACGTAATCACAAAAGTTTGTAAGGCTGTAACTCTACCTCACAGTGATTCATTAAAAATAAAAATAAAATAAAATAAATAAATAAATAAATAAAAAGTTATTGCTAGTAAAGATGACCCTCCCTCTACCAAGGTTCTCATTTCCTTCCTGTTTCCAGTCTGCCTCCTTAGCAGGCTCATAGCAAATTTATTTCATATTTCTTGCTCCAACAAAACTTTAAGGAACGGTAAGTGGAATTATCAGAGAATAAATCAATAGAAGTCAATTGGTAGTCAGTAGTTGTTATATGACTTTAAATAATAATTCTCTTTTCCCTCTAGAATCCCTATGTGAAAATGTCATTCTACTTAATAATGTCCTATACACACACATACACACGCACACATACACACACACACCACTGAACATTGCCACAAAACAAAACAGGAATTGGTGAGATTGTAGAGAAATCCGACATGACATTTCATCAGTAAAGAAATGAACAGCACCCGGCCCAGACAAGGTCAGACCTGAACACCTGAAGAATCTGCCGTCAGTACTCATCAATACGCTGGCTCGGCTCTTCACACACTACCTGTCTGAATGCAAGGTTCCGTCCCAATGGAAAACCAGCAGGACTGTACTACTGTACAAGAAGGGAGACATCCACAACATTGGCAACTATCTCCTGATCTGCCTGTTGTCTGTCATCTACAAGTTGTTCACTCGAGTCATCCTAAATAGGATTGGCAGAACACTAGATGAAGGACAACCATGCGAGCAAGCCGGGTTCCGCAAAGGATTCAGCACCATCGACCATATCCACACGATAACCAAGCTCATTGAGGTTTCTCGAGAGTTCAAGATGCCACTCTGTCTAACGTTCATTGATTTAAAGAAGGCCTTTGATTCTGTTGAGACGGAAGCAGTCATCGAAGCCCTAGCCAATCAGGGCATTCAAACTCAATACATCAGGATCCTTCATGAGCTCTATTATGAATTCACTACCAGAATCTCACCATTCTACAAAGAAGTAATCATTGATGTCAAGAGAGGGGTGCGGCAGGGAGGACGTCATGCGATGACTGGAATGGGAAGGAATGGGAGTGAAGATAGATGGTCGGCAACTACACCACCTCCGCTTTGCTGATGACACTGTTTTAATAGCACCAAACATTACCCAAGCAGCACAAATGCTGGCCAACTTCAACCATGAGTGTGGAAAGGTTGGACTACAGCTGAATCTTACGAAGACAATGTTTATGAGAAACAGCCTCATTCCTGATGCTCCATTCGCTCTCAACAGAACGACTATCTCCGAATGCAGCAGTTATGTGTACCTAGGTTGAGAAGTCAACATGACCAATGACCTGTCACCCGAACTTTGTAGGAGGAAGAGAGTGACTTGGAATGCCTTCAAGAGCATAGAAGAAACAGCTAAGAGGATGAAGAACCTCCGGATCCAGGCACATCTCTTTCATTCCACTGTTCTTCCTGCATTAACCTACTCCTCAGAGACCTGGGCCCTAAGCAAATAGGATGAGAACGCTATTTGGGTCTCCCAAAGAGGAATTGAAAGAGCTATGCACGTTTCACTCAAATGAGAGAAAGAATCTGAAGTTCCGACCTCTCTCAACGCTCAAGAATCAGGGATGCTGTCTCGTTTGCCAATGCATCAAAAATCAGATGGGCTGGTCCCATAATGAGATCTAGAGACAACTGCTGGACTAGAGCTGTTACCGACTGGATTCCACGAGATGTCAAAAGACTGCGTGGCCGCCCACCTACCAGATGGTCAGACTTCTTCATCAAGATCATGAATGATTGGTTTGAGGCTCTTCGTTTTCCTAGAATGAATAGATGTCATTGGGCTACAGTAGCATGCGACAGGAACAAATGGAGACGTTACTGGCGCCTGCTCGAGCAAATCAGCAATTAACGGGAAGTCAAGTGATCAAGTGATCCATTGCTGATGGGACTGTGAGATAGTTCATATGGCTATGAAAGCCAATCTTAGGTTCCTTAAAAACCTAAAAATCATAGACTGACCTTATGACCCAACAATTCAACTCTTAGGTATTTAGGTAGAAAACTGAGATTCAAATAAATGTTTGTATGAATTGACCATTCAATAATACAAATTACAAGTACTGTTATTCTTTACAAAACTCAAAAGGTAGAAATAATTTGAGTTGGGGCCAGAGCAATAGCACACACAGTGGGTAGGGCTTTTGCCTTGCATGCGGCCAACCCGGGTTCGAATCCCAGCATCCCATATGGTCCCCTGAGCACTACCAGAAGTAACTGCTGAGTGCAGAGCCAGGAGTAAACCCGGAGCATCGCCAGGTGTGACCTCCCCCCCAAAAAAAAGCAAAAAAAAAAACAGACCAATAGCACAGCAGACAGGGTTTTTGCCTTGCACACGGTCAACCCAGGTTCAGTTCCCGACATCTCATATGTTTCCCTAAGCACTGCCAGCAGTAATTTCTGAGCACAGAGCCAGGAGTAACCCCTGAGCATCACGAAGTATGGCCCCAAAAGAAAAAAAGATATGCCAAAAAAGAAATAACTTTAGTATTCATTATGGATGAATGGATAATCAAAATGTGGAAGATATACACAAAAAAATGCTAGTCTTTCTTCTTTTGAATAGGAATGAAATTCCAGTACACACTACAACTTGAATTAATTCACATTTTTCTTTTTATTATACAAGTACTATAAGTACTGAATTTTTTATTTTAATGAATCATTGTGAGATACAGTTACAAACTTACAAATTTTCGTGATTACATTTCAATCAAACAATGTTCAAGTACTCATCCCTCCACCAGTGCCCATTCTCCACCACCAATGTTCCCAGTGTCCCTCTCACCACCTCCACCCCTTCCCATCCCCAGCCTCTGTGGCAGTCACATTCCCTCTTACTCTCTCAATTTCAGTGTTATTGTTTGCAGTATAGGCACTAAGCAGCCATCATGTTTGGTCCATAGTCTACATTCAGCACACATCTCTCATCCCAAATGATCCATCCAACCATCATTTACTTAGTGGTCTCTTCTCCATCCCACTTGCCTTTCGCCCAGCACACAAGATCAGCTTCCAAGCCTTGAGGCCACCCTTCTGGCCCTTATTTCTACCATCCTTAGGTAATGCACATTTTTCTGAGTGAATCAAACTAGACATAATAGAATAAACATTATATGATAACACTTTTGGTGGGGGGGGATTTTGGGAGTTTGATGCTCAGGTCTGGCTCTAGGGTCTGTGCTCAGGGATCACTCTTGGTGGGGCTTGGGAGTTTATATGGGGTGCAAGAGGTCAAACCTGGGTTGGCCTTGAACAAGGCAAGTGCTCTACCCAGTGTTCTATCTTTGCAGCCTATATATGGTTGCACACATATGAAATGTCCAATAGACCAATTCATAGAGAATGATGATAGAACATAAGTTATCAGGGGGATGAGTTAGGTGAAAATAATAAGTTATCACTTGACAGGTACAGGATGATATCTAAAATCCTGAAGAAGTTTTAGAAATACTGGAGATGATTGTACAATTTTTTTTTTGCTTTTTGGGTCATACCTGGCAATGCACAATGATTACTCCTGGCTCTGCACTCAGGAATTACCCCTGGCGGTGCTCAGGGGACCATATGAGATGCTGGGAATCAAACTTGGGTTGGCCGCCTGCAGGGCAAATGCCCCACCTGCTGTGCTATTGCTCCAGCCCCTGTACAATATTTTTTGATGTAACTAATACTAATGGATTAACGTTAAAACATTTTAAAATTGCCAATTTTATGTTGCATGTAATTTACCACCAAAAAAATTACATAAATATTACATGTAACAAGTGTTGTATGAAAAACAATGTGACAGTGCATTTAAGACCAATAAATTGTATCTAGCACTACTGAAAATAGAATGCATGGTGACAAAGCGAGTCTTGTCAAGATTAATTTGACATCTAAATACAATTGGTTTTAGCCAGAATCTGGAAAAAACCTGAGTGCCTGAGAACAGATGACTGGTTAAAGAAACTTTGGTACCTCTACACAATGGAGTACTATGTAGCTGTTAGAAAAGATGAAGTCATGAAATTTACATACAAGTGGTACTACATGGAAAGTATCATGCTAAGCGAAATGAGTCAGAAAGAGCGGGATAGACACAGAAAGATTGCATTCATCTGGGGAACATAAAGAAACAAAATAGGAGACTAACACCCAAGAATAGCCGAGATAAGTACCAGGAGGTTTGCTCCATGGCTTCATGACTTGGAGGCCAGCCACACATGCTAGGGGAAAAGGCAGCTCAGATAGAGAAGGGAGCACCAAATAAAGGGTGTTGGGAAGATTCTCCCAGGATGGGAGAAGCATGCTAAAAGTAGACTATAGACCGAACATGATTGCCATGCAATGCCTCTTTTGCAAACCACAGGACCCAAAAGGAGAGAGAGAACAAAAGGGAATGTCCTGCCACAGAGGCAGGGTGGAACGGGGGCAGGCGAGGGGAGATGGGGGGGGAGGGATACTGGGATCCGTGGTGGTGGAAAATGGGCACTGGTGGAGGGATGGTGGTGGAGGATCATTGTATAATTGAAACCCAAGCACAAAAAATTGTACATCTACAACTGTACTTCATGGTGTTTCACTAATAAAAACTTAAAATTACATAAATAAATACAATTGGTTTGTAAATCAAAGAACCCCAATAGCAAAGAACCGCAAAGGATTCAGCACCATCGAACATATCCACACAATAACCAAGCTCATTGAGGTTTCTCGGGAGTTCAAGATGCCGCTCTGTTTAACGTTCATTGATTTAAAGAAGGCCTTTGATTCTGTTGAGATGGAAGCGGTCATTGAAGCCCTAGCCAATCAGGGCATTCAAGCCCAATACATCAGGATCCTCCGTGAGCTGTATTGCGGATTCACTACCAGGACCTCACCATTCTACAAAGAAGTGATCGTTGATGTCAAGAGAGGGGTTTGGCAGGGTGATACCATTTCACTGAAACTCTTCAGTGCCACCCTTGAGAACATCATGCGACGACTGGAATGGGGAGGAATGGGAGTGAAGATAGATGGTCGGCAACTACACCACCTCCACTTTCCTGATGACATTGTTTTAATAACACCAAACATCAGCCAAGCGGCACAAATGCTGGCTGACTTTGACCGTGAGTGTGGAAAGGTAGGACTACAGCTGAATCTTACGAAGACAATGTTTATGAGAAACAGCCTCGTTCCTGATGCCCCATTCGCTCGCAACGGAACGACCATCTCCGAATACAAGAGCTATGTGTACCTAGGTCGAGAAGTCAACATGACAAATGACCTGGCACCCGAGCTGCGCAGGAGGAAGAGAGCGGCTTGGAACGCCTTCAAGAACGTCGAAGAAATAGCTAAGAGGACGAAGAACCTCCGGGCACGTCTCTTTGATTCCACTGTTCTTCCTGCATTAACATATGCCTCAGAGACCTGGGCCCTACGCAAACAGGATGAGAATGCTATTCCGGTCTCCCAAAGAAGAATTGAAAGAGCTATGCTTGGAATATCACGTTTCACTCAAATGAGAGAAAGAATCCAGAGTTCCGACCTCCATCCACGATCAAGAATCAGGTATGCTGTCTCGTTTGCCAAGGTGTCAAAAATCAGATGGGCTGATCACGTAATGAGATTTAGAGACAACCGCTGGACTAGAGCTGTTACCGACTGGATCCCACGGGATGTCAAAAGACCGCGTGGCCGCCCACCTACCAGATGGTCAGACTTCTTCATCAAGATCATGAACGATAGGTTTGAGGCTCTTTGTGTTCCTAGAGCGAACAGACGCCATTGGGCTACACTAGCACGCAACAGGGACAAATTGAGACGTTACTGGCGCCCGCTCGAGCAAATCGACGATTAACGGGAAGTTAAGTGATTAAGTGATTAAGTGACTACATTAATATTTAAAAAGAACAATGTCACTTTACAATGTTGGTGTCCTAATAAATATATATATATATATATTTTTTGAAAATCTAATACTCATGATTTCAAGCAAACTAAGGATAGAAGGAAGTTTCCTTATCTTGGTTAAGGTAATTACAAGAACTTACAAGCCTGTTATTGTTCCTAAGTTTTGTAATTATGTTAAAGTTTCTGTATGGTAGAACTTTGTATCACTTACTGATTTTTGTCTCTTTTTTTCTTTTTTTCACAGAAGCTGTTGCTGTCACCTGGGTCGATAGAGTATTTCCATCCTTGCAATGGGTCATTTCAATTGGTGTTTCTTCTTCAATATTTAGTTCCCTTAATTGTAATATATTTTCAACATCAAGGTTATTTTATGTTGCCAGTCAGGAGGGTCAACTACCTTCGATTTTTTCATCTCTCAATATTCACTCCTGTCCAGTTGCAGCTATGATTCAGATGCTCATCTTTTCCTGCTTTATAGTTTTTACCTCAGACTTAATCATTTTGGTGAATTATGTGGGATTCTCAAGCTGGATTCAACTTGGGCTAATGATGGTCGGTTTACTCAAACTGAGATTCCAGGAGCCCAACCTCTACAGACCTTATAAGGTAAATCAAACCCGCACAACAAAATATGTCCTTCATATTCCTAAAGAGCATTTTAGTACTTTTAGTGACTGTTCTCTAATCTTTCTAGGTTATTGGAAGCCTCTTTCAGGAACACTTCATCTCTATGGGTTTTTCTGAGTGTTGACACATAAGCTTCTTAGTTCATTTTTCATTTGAAATCTCAGGAAAGAATGTGCAAGACTAGTAATTGTTAGGATTAGCACAGGAATCTTATTTTCTCATTATATTATGGCAAATACAACTAGCAAAACTTTAGTCTTAAGGATCACATTAGGGTGTACAATGTTTTCTCTAGATCTCAGTGGAAGAGGGACAAATTTCCCAGACCAATGCCCTCTTCATGATATTATGTTGAATCCCTTCTAGTGAGACGGGTCTGCCCAGTGTCTCTTGAACTTATGAAAAAGCTACATGAAATGATTCATACAAATCTAGCAAATAATTTTTTCCTTAAAATTTTCTCCTATAGTTCAACTACCTATACGTTATGGGTTTAATAAAAATACTGCTTTTATTTTATTATTTTTTGCTTTTGGGACCATACCCAGCAACACACAGAGATTACTCCTGGCTCTGCACTCAGGAATTTCTCCTGACAGTGTTCGGGGTACCATATGGGATGCTGGGAATCAAACCCAGGTTGGCCAGGTGCAAGACAACTGCCCTACCCGCATCAATATCACTCCAGCCCCCAACAATAATTACTCATTTCTATATTCATTCAACCAGGAGGTTAAGTGGGATATTTTTACATAATATAGTAAGTAGTCTTTTAATATGTACACACACGGAAGAAAAGTCTTTCTAATATTATATCAAGAATACTTATGTTTCTAGGTAACATTTTTTTACAGATAATTGGACTTTTGTCAAATCATCATTTTTTTCAATATTAAAATTCCAGAAAGTTTAAAATTTGAAATTAGTCATTTAATTGTAAATATGGCTTATGATTAATACAGTTCACTAGATATGCATACACACACATATATATGTATATATATATATATATATGTCATTGTTAGGCCTGTAAATTCCTTTTGAAATGATGTAAGTTCTAAACAGCTCTTGTTTTACCAATAAAGAAAATTCTACAAGCAAAGGGCTTTTAAAGTTATGTACATTAGATATAGCAAAATAAAATATGGTAGCAGATTATTTACAGGAAAATCTCAGCAAAATATAGGAATTGACTAGAAATCCAAACTTAAAAATTAAGTAATAACATAGTTAAGGAATGAGATTTTCAAACTCTGTCTGTCCTCCCATTGTTCATCTATTTGCTCGAGCGGGCCCAGTAATGTCTCCATTTTGAGACTTGTTGTTACTGTGTTTTGGCATATTGGGCGAGATACTCTCGGTAGCTTGCCAGGCTCTCCGAGAAGGGCGGAGGAATCGAACTTGGCTCGGCCGGGCTGGCTGCGCGCAAGGCAAATGCCCTACCGCTGTGCTATCACTCAAAAAAATGGAATAACTTGAGGAGTTCTTTCATAAACTAGAATTTTTAGACTTCACCTTGAGAGATTCTAATTATTTGTTTTAGAATCAAAAATCCGTATTTAAAAACTGAAGAAATAGGCAGTGATTTTTTTATAAATTATTCAATGATTCAATAAAAGTGTACTATGAAGATACTTTGTGAAAAACACTAATTGAAATACCTAAAAGACATGTAAGTAAATTTATCATTCATCATCAATGATAGACTAACAGGCAATAGAGAAATGTAAAACAAAATACAATGATACTAATTATAATAATGTTTAACTGAGATTTATTGCTTACTGAATACATAAACATGTAATTAATAATATAAATTCACATATACATATCATCTTGTAAATGAAGAGTCAGAATCATAAAAAGTTATTCCAAAGCCCATGGTCCTTCTATGCTTAAAATGGATTATATAAGGATAATATATTAGGTTGATGTCCAAAAAACAATAATTTTAGCATTGCCTGATTGAAAATAGAAAAGTTAGAAAACTTTTATAGCAAAAAAAAAATGTTTATGCTTTATAGTGTGGAATGTTTCAGAATTTCTTCATCCAAAGACGGAATGAAGGAGCTAGAGATATAGTCCAGCAGGCAGGCAGAACACTTGCCTTGCATACAGCGGTCCTGGTTCGAACCCCAACATGGCAGATAGTACCGAAGCACTGATAGGAGTGCTCCATGAGCACAGAGCTAGGAGTCAACCCTGAGCACTCCTGAATATGGCCCTAAAACAAACAAGGAAACAAACAGAAATATGAGTAAGTAGTATAAAATGGTCCTGGATGATAGCATAGTGGGTAGGGTGTTTGTCTTGCACACGGCCAACTTGGGTTCAATTCTTCTGCCCCTGTTGGAGAGCTGGGCAAGCTACCAAGAGTATCCCACCCACGGCAAAGCCTGACATGCTCCCCATGATCTATTCGATATGCCAAAAACAGTAATAAGTCTCACAATGGAGACGTTACTAGTGTCCGCTCTAGGAAATTGATGAACAGCGGTAGGACAGTGCAGTGCAGTATAAATAGCTGAAAATATTAGGGTTTCAGGGAAAAAAAACTAATAAGTAAGTCTTTTATTTCATTGTGTTATAGTTCTAGCAAGATTCTCAGCAGATAATTTTCTTCTATGTAAAAACAGGAAAAAATGGTATTTTTTAATCCTTTGAACATGACCAATATCCAACAAATGTTTGTATATTTTAAATGTCTTGTACATTATTATTTATAAAAATCTCCAAGTCCTCTAATAGTAATTTTTTTTCTCCCTCAGGTGCGGTTGCCTTTTGTGTTTGGAACAATAGCTGTGTCTTTGTTCTTAGTTTTGACACCGGTCATCAGGTCTCCTCAGATGCATTATATCTATGTTCTTCTTTTTATCTTCAGTGGTGTTTTGCTTTATTTTCCTTTTGTTCACTTCAGTTTGTGTTCTACATACTTCGACAAGATGACTTGCTTCTTACAATTACTATTGAATGTTTCACCTGTGAGTGACATTGATGAAAATGCTTTAACAGATGGGAGAGCATTGCAGAAGAATTCATCTGAAATTACAGCAGATAAAAAATAAATGATGCTTCTTCATCCGGGCAAATAAAAATCATTAAAAGTATCTTCCTGTTGGAAGACTGCCTCATGAACAAAAGGGGAGAAGGCAGCTGGAATAGAGAAGGGATCACTAAGAAAATGATGGTAGGAGGGATCAGTTGGGAGGGGAGATGTGTGCTGAAAGTAGATAATGGACCAAACATGGTAACCTCTCAGTATCTGCATTACAAACCATCATGCCCAAAAGTGGAGAGAGAGTATGGGGAATATTGTCTGCCATGGACGCAGGGGTAGGGTTGGGAGGGGGGGATTCCGGGGATATTGGTGGTGCGGAATGTGCACTGGTGGAGGGATGGTTGTTTGATCATTGTGTGATTGTAACTCAAACATGAAAGCTTGTAACTATTTCACTGTGATTTAATTTTAAAAAAGAAGAAAAAAAATCTTCCTTCTTCAACCAGACTAACACTCCTTATGCGTGTGTACACATAGTGTGTGTATACACACACATGTACACACACACACCTAATATTATCTCTAATGTCGATCATGATCACGATCATCCTGTTGTTCGTCGATTTCCTCGAGCAGACACCAGTAACGTCTCCTTCTTCCTAGCCCTGAGATTTTAAAAGAGCCATTTCAATGCTCTTTCAGGATTAGGAGAATGAGACCCATCATTGTTACTGGTGTTTGGCATATTGAGTACGACACGGGAAGTTTGCCAGACTCTGCTGTGTGGGCAGGATACTTTCTGTAGCCTGACAGGTTCTCCAAAGAAAAAATGAGATAATAAGATGTCGCGTGGCCGCATTTGCGGCCACGTGTTCCGGGAGCTGGGTTTTATAGTCTTTGCATCTTGGCCGTTGCTGGGACCAACCTAGTGCTGGCGGCAGCTGGTGGGTGTGACGCCTACCTACTGGAAGATGGGGAGTCTGGTTGGAGAAGGCCCAGTTCCTGGAGGAGACCAGAAAATTTAACTCCTTTTATTTTTAATTGAATCCTTGTTTCCAAATTAAGACATGTTGAGCACACTAAACTAAAGCAATCCTTGGGGAAATGCTCTACATCACTAATCATCAGGGAAATGCATATCAAAACAACAATGAGATATTATCTCACACCACCACAGAGACTGGCTCACATCCAAAAACAAGAATAACAAATGCTGGCATGATCGGGGAAGAGGGGGCAGGGACTCTCACTGTTAGTGGGAATGTTGGCTAGTTCAGTCTTTTTGGAAAACAATACGGACGTTCCTCAAAATAACTAGAGATTGAGTTTCCATATTACCAAGCAATACCATTCTTGGGAATATACCCTAAAGATCCAATAACACAATGCAGAAAAGCTACCTGCACTTCTATATTCATTGCAGCACTATTCACAATAGCCAGAATCTGGAAATAACCTGAGTACCTGAGAACAGATGAGTAGAAAAAGAAACTATAGTACATCTACACAATAGAATACTATGCAGCCATTAGGGAAAAAATCGAGTCATGAAATTTGCTTAAACTTGAATGAACATGGAAGTGTGGTGAGGAGGGAAGGAACAGACTAGAAGTGACATGGGATAGTGGTGCAAGGTTTTTGGCACGTTGGTGGAGGTAAAGATGAAGTAATTCTGTACAACAAAGACATAAATATTAATACTATTGTAGACCATGTTGTTTCAATGGGCTGGAGCGATAGCACAGCAGTAGGGCATTTGCCTTGCACGCAGCCAACATGGTCCACCCAAGTTTGATTCCTCTGCCCCTCTCGAAGAGCCCAGCAAGCTACTGAGAGTATCTCACCCGCACGACAGAGCCTGGCAAGCTACCCGTGATGTATTCGATATGCCAAACACAGTAACAACAAAGTCTCCAATGGAGACATTACTGGGCCTGCTTGAGCAAATCGATGAACAATGGGAGAACAGTGACAGTTGTTTCAATAATATAAAATAAATTAAAATTTTGAATATATAAAATTTCAGGTTGGTGCTGGTTAACTTCTGAGCTAATGCACAAAAATTACTGTGAAGTAAACAGCTTAGTAAAAAGACTCAGAATTCACTTTCAATTTGAGTATAAAATACACGTGACAATTATCTGCAGTTTGGATAGAACTGGATGATACCATATTAAGTGAAGTAAGTCAAAAGGAGGACCGTTATTATATGGTTTCACTTATCTGAGGCATATACAATAACAGAAATGTAAAGTGCAGGGGGCAATGCAGGGAGAAAGGGACTCTAATTCATTGTTGGTGGGAATGCTGCCTGGTCCAGTGTTTTTGGAAAACAATATGGGAATTGCCAAAAAAACTAGACATTGAACTTTCATAGGACCCAGCAATACCACTCCTGGAAACCTGGAAATATATCCCAGGTGCCCAAAAACACACTGCAGAAAAGCCATCTGCACTCCTTTGTTCATTGCAGCACCACTCACAACTTTTGTTGTTATATTGATTTAGAAAATTCAATACAAGAAAATTATATCACCTGCAGATAAATTCCATGTTTAGGGGTGGGGGGGCACGCACTTGTTTGGGGGGTATACCAGGTGGCTCTCAGGGTTTCTGATATACCTCTGATTCTGTGCTGGGGTGCTAGGGAGTATATGTAGTGCCAGGGATCAACATAAGGTTGTGGCTAAAACAGCCACATGCAAGGTAAGTCTATCCATCCTGTACTATCCAGTTCAAAAATAGCAGGTAAGGCCCTTGACATGCTAGCATACAGCTATGGTTTGGTCCCAGGCACCAGATCTGATCCCATGAGTATCACCAGAAGTCATTCCCTAAACTCAGAGCCAGGAGTAAATCCTGAGCATCACTGGGTATAGCCCAGAAACAAACCAAAAAAAGAAAATTCTTGCTTAAAATATTTTATTTTCCTGGGGCTAGAGCAATAGCACAGCGGGTAGGACATTTGCCTTGCATGCAGCCAACCTAGGTTCGATTCCCAGCATCTCATATGGTCCCCCGAGCACCGCCAGGAGTAATTCCTGAGTGCATGAACCAGAAGTAACTCCTGTGCATCGCCGGGTGTGACCCAAAAAATATTTTATTGTCCTTTAGGGCCACATCCAGCAGTTCTCAAGATTTCCTCTCAACCCTGCATTCAGATATCAACCCTGATGAGGCTTGGGAGAGCATAAGAAGTAATGGGGGATCGAACCCAATTCAACACCATTCAAGGAAACTTCTTTAGCCAATGTCTTTACTATCTCTCTAGCCCTGTTTTCCTTACAATGTTTAAAACTAGCGTTTATTCTCTCTCTCTCTTTCTTTCTCTTTCTTTGCAAGGCATGGAGTTGGGGTACACCTGATGGTGCTCAGGGCTTACTCCTGACTCTGTGCTCAGGAATCACTATGGTGGGGTTCAGGCGATCATAGTCTGTGCCTTGGATCAAACACCTATTGAAAGCATGCAAAGCAAAGGACTGAACTGCTGTATTATCTGTTTGAAGTTTCTTATTCAATTGAATGAGCAAAATTCAGTTTATTTTATGAGAATTGAAACATTGTATAGTGAAGGACAGAAGTAGGCTTTTAGTTGTGAAATGAATGGAGTATATTCACATTGATTTTTAATGACACTCAGCTGAAACATGTTATAATGCAATGTTATATCCATTTAAAAAAGAAGAAAATAATATGTGGGAAAAAAAAGAGCAGGAATCCTTATCTTGTTGATGGCTCTGAGACTGCCTCTGTTGCAGAAAATGTATAGTGGGTGCTGTAGATATTTAAAGATACATCATTGTCTGCTTTTAAGTTGCTTTGATTTTGCTTAATTATGGAGAAATAATGACTGACCTAAATAAGCTCCCAGAAGAGAACAGCGCAGAGTCTCCTGCCTCCACACCTTGCTGTCCTCACCGGGCCCATTGGAGGAGGGTGGGTTGAGTTTCCCTCCCCACCCTCAGCAGAGCCCCGGCAGCTGAAGACCTCTGGTTCCAGCCACACCATGCTTAAGACCACTCTCCACATGTTTGGACGAGCCTCACGCATGAAGGAACTGGCAGAAGAACCCAGGTGTGCGAGACCCGGGGCTTAGATCTCCAAGCCTGCTCGCATTGGGACTGGGGCCTCCTCCACCCAGATCCCCCATCTTCCAGTATGTAGGCGTTACACCCACCAACTGCCCCAGGCACCGTGTAATCCCATCAACGGCCAAGACCCAGAGACTATAAAACCCTGTTCCTGGAAGCATCTTATCATCTAGTTCTTACTCTGGAGAACCTGGCAGGCTACCAAAAGTATCCTGCCCACACAGCAGAATCTGGTGAACTCCCCGTGGCGTATTCAATATGCCAGAAACCAGTAACAATGATGGGTCTCATTCTCCTGACCCTGAAAGAACCTCGAATGTGGCACTTTCTAAAATCTCAGAACTAGGATGAAGGAGCCGTTACTGGGACCCGCTCGAGGCAATCAATGAACAACAGGATGACAGTGAATAAGCTTTTAGTCTCCTTTGAGGTCACTGTTTATTTTTTATTCTTCAATAATGTAATTTAGAAGTTACTCTTTCCATAGCTATGGAGTCTTCTGTTTCCTAGCTAGCAGTTTGTCAATTTTATCACTTGAGAAGACCAACGGTTCATACTTTGCTCTTGTCTTGTTTTTCTGGCAGTTCTTCCTTTCTCAGGAGCCAGCCTCCCTGCCTCTAATCTGGTGCTCCCTCTGCTGTCTGAATGCTGTGCCTCAGTCCGGATGCAGGAGGCACTTCTCAGGGCCTTGTTCCTTCCTTAAATTCTGTGCCTTCTTTCAATGCTGAAGAGCTGGACTGACCACAGCGAGCCACTTGGATCATGGTTACTGGTACCCAGATCTTCAGGGCTCTACGTGAAGCAAGACGGAGGCCAGGCCGTCAGTCACTGGTCTGAATGGCGGGTACTCTGGCCTCAAGCTCTCACTGCTGAACTTTGCTGGCCTGGGGAGGAACCGGCAGGGAAAGTGAAATTGTTCTCACTCTTTGGTTTGAGTAGTCTGAAGCATTCAAACTCTTTTTTTTTGGGGGGGGGGGTGAGGGCTTTTTTTTTTTTTTTTTTTTTTTTTTGCTTTTTGCGGGGGCATCACACCCAGCAAAGCACAGGAGTTATTCCTGGCTCTGTACTCAGGAATTACTCCTGGCGGTGCTTGGGGGACCATATGGGATGCCAAGGATCGAACCTGGGTCAACCCGGTGCAAGGCAAACGTCCTACCCACTGTACTATCTCTTCGGCCCTGCATTCAAACTTCTTAATTGGAATTGGAAACTTTTCAAACGTCTACATAAGCTTTGTAAAATCATTGTTTTCCGTCTGGACATGAGGACTATGAATTTCTAGTCTACAACCTTCCTGACGTCTTTCTCCTTTCTAGTTTATTGTGTTGAAAACCCATCCATTAATTTCAGTCTCTTGTCACACTGGTAGCTAATAAACTCAAAGTTCAGATTTTCTTCTGACATTTTTAAATCACCGGGGACCCTTGGAGGAGGGTGGGTTGAGTTTCCCTCCCCACCCCCAGCAGAGCCCCAGCAGCTGAAGACCTCCGGTTCCAGCCACAGCCATGCTTCAGAGCACTCTCCACACATTCAGACGAGCCTCACGCATGAAGGAACCAGCAGAGGAACCCAGGTGTACGGAACCCAGGGTGCAGATCTCCAAGCCTGCTCAGATTGGGACTGGGGCCTCCTCCCTTATCTTTCAGTAGGCAGGCGTTACACCCACCAACTGCCCCCAGCACCATGTAATCCCATCAACCGCCAAGACCAAGAGACTATAAAACCCTGCTCCCGGAAGACATCTTATTATCTAGCTTTTACTCTGGAGAACCTGGCACGCTACCAAAAGTATCCCGCCCACACAGCAGAGTCTGGCAAACTCCCTGTGGCGTATTCAATATGCCAAAAACCAGTAACAATGATGGGTCTCATTCTCCTGACCCTGATAGAACCTTGAATGTGGCACTTTTTAAAATCTCAGGGCTAGGATGAAGGAGACGTTACTGGGGCCTGCTCGAGGCAATCGACGAACAACAGGATGACAGTGATACAGTGATTTTTAAATCAAATTTCAAGATGGTTCACTTTATTTTAATTATCCCACAGCAACAAAATACACTTTACACGTCTTTAGTATATGTAAATGTCAAGTTACACAAACTGGCATAACAAATTAAGTTCCATTTATTTTGAATGCAACTTAATTCTGTCCAAGTATCTTTCATTGTTGCAAGTCAAGTAGTCTTGTATGTTGTAAATGCACAATCTCTTATAATGTACAAACTCTTTTGAGATTTGTTGTGATTGCTTTATAGTCCAGTGAAAGTTAGTTTTAGCACGTCAAAATTCTACATCATATTCATGTATATGTACATGCACAGACATGACTAAATGGAGATAAAGTTAATAGTAATCCTTTTACAGAACATCTCAATGTCACCTTATATTTTTCAAGGTTTTTAATGATTACCATTTTTATCAGGAAAAAACACCTCCCTGATACTAAATTCAGCCTCAAGTCAATTTCTAGAGATGTGAGACAGCATAAATCTAATCCCATCACTTCTCTGCTTTAGTCTCTGCATGTTCCCCTTTCCCTCCATCAACTCAAACACACTTTACTATTTAACTTTGCTATGTATAATATACCAAGAAAAATAATTGAAAAAACCATATTTTTAAAGAAAAATCTGGTACATTTAATGACATTGATACGTTGTGGGTTTTTTCTTTCTTTCTTTCTTTCTTTTTTTTTTTTTTTTTGGTTTTTGGGTCACACCCGACGATGCTCAGGGGGTACTTCTGGCTCTGTGCACAGGAATTACTCCTGGCAGTGCTCAGGAGACCATATGGAATGCTGGGAATTGAATCCCGGTCGGCCGCCTGCGAGGCAAACGCCCTATCCACTCCAGCCCCGAAACGTCATGTTTCTTATGTTAACTATTTAAGTAATTGAAACACCATGTTTCTTATATCAACTATTTAAGTAGTTGTAAGACTATAAAACTTACCCCATTGACAAATCTCTATTTCAGTTTTATATTGAGTTATATATACGTGACCCTATCAGTCATCTATATAACAAACCTCCACAATTTGCTGACCTAAATGAAAGTTCTTTATCGAGTACCTATTTTTGTCATTTGGACTGTACAGCTGACAGCTTATATCATTATACTAATGACAAATGCCTGTCATTAGCAGCTGGATTACTTGGTTCCATTCCTTGTGATCAGTATCTCGTCCAGTAGGCTATAGACTCGCTGCTTAGAAATCTTCCCACAGAAGGACCAGAGTATCAAAGATGCTTGGGTGCCTTGACTTGGTACTAACACAAACTCTTCTGATGTGGCTGTGTTGAGGATAAGGTGACTCACAAGACAGCCCAGAACCAAGACACGGGAGAAGTCATCCACCTTCACCCTAGGTCAGAAATGCACAGAAGCAAGAGAAAGCCGGTGCTTACTGGGAAACAGGAACTTGTGCTCAAGAGGTGGAGATGAAGACAGGTAACAGTGACACAATGATTCATAGCATTTAAGCCTAGAAACATCTTCAGTGTTAGATTTGAAAAGCCAGGCTTTATTTGGTTACTGCGGGACCACAAAAGATTTGGGCTCAGAATAGTAACAGGCACAGCATCTGAGATAAACCTTTCACTCCATGTTTAAAATTCTCTCATCACTGGGTAGCAATCTATCCAGTTGGGCATTAACCTTAATCCTGTTATTTTTCTACCTGGAATGCCTTTCATTTTTTTTTTTTTTGTACTCTCCTTGACCTAGCAAGACTGTTCAAACAATTTTCTCCCACAAACCATCCCCATAACCCACAGCAAAGGAGGCTTGAAAGTTTCTGTGCTAGACTAAGGACTGAACATGACAGCCTCTCAGTATCTGTATTACAAACCCTGATGCCCAAAAGGAGAGAGAGAGTAAGGAAGGTGCCTGCCCCAAAGGTAGGGGGTGGGATGGGATAGGGGTGTCAAGAAGGATATTGGAAACATTGGTGGTGGGAAATACACACTGGTAGAGGGATGGGTATTCATCAGCGAATGAATGAAACTCAATCCTGAAAGCTTTGTGACTGCATCTCATGGCGATTCAGTAAAAATAAATAACTTTTAAAAAAAAAAGTTTCTGGCTATTCCTAACACTCCTATGCAGATCCAGTCACACTGACAAGCTTGCCAAGTTCACTGCAGGCAGGAGGGAAACAAAGGTACTGAGCTGTTCCAAACTGGCCTGAAATCGCTGTTAAGTCATCTGCAAAGCAAAAAAAAAAAAAAGAAAGAAAGAAAAAATTAAAAACCTCATACAAAATAGCCACAAAGAAAAAAGATCGTGGCTGTTTAACATCCGCAAGCCTGGAAGATTTCACTTGAGCATAAGCCCCAAGATTAAAATCACCAGAAGAGGGGCTGGAGTGATAGGACAGCGGGTAGGGCGTTTGCCTTGCAAACTCCACCGGGGTTGATTCCCAGCATCCCATATGGTTCCCTGAGCACCGCCAGGAGTAATTCCTGAGTGCATGAGCCAGGAGAAACCCCTGTGCATCGCTGGTGTGACCCAAAAAGCAAAAAATAAATAAATAAATAAATAAATAAATAAATAAATAAATAAATGAGAAGGAGGGAGGGAGGGAGCCCGACTCCCGCCTGCGCGAGAAATTGACAAGCGTCGGTTGATGGGCGGGTCCTGGGCCCGCCCCCCACGGCCGCAACTTCCGCTGGCCGGGGGGCGTGTTCCGGGCTCTCGGACCCGCGCTGGGCGCCGGTTAAGATCTCGCTGCGTGGGGCCGGAGCCATGGAGTCCCAGGTGGAAGCGGAAAACGAGGACGGCGACAGCAGCTGCGGGGACCTGTGCTTCATGGACAAAGGCTTGATCAGGTGACGGGCCGCGGCGGCGCCCCGAGGGGGACCTCGCCCCGCCCCCGCCCGCAGCCCCACCGGGGGTCGCACGCTCGGAGCGAGTCCCAGTTGCTTTGCTCCCGGGACTCCTGGGCTGAGCAGCCGGAGCCCGAGCCGAGCCGCGATCGCCCTGAGCCGGCCTAACCCGCCCACCCCCACCCCACCCCACCCCACCCCTGCCGGATGCCCCCTCGCCAAGGGGTCCCGCCGGGGCGGGCCCGGTGATGGGGTGGGTGAGGGGGTCTCCGCTTCTCGGATCTTGCTTGGCTCCTTCTCTTGAGAAACAGGGTTTGACCCGGAGGGGGCATATGTGCCGTCGCCTCTCTTCTCTTTATCCTCCGCTGCCTCATTTCGATCCCTTCATTCATGCTGCTCCATCCGCAGAGTCGAGCACCCAGTTGAGTTCTGCATCTCCTGCCTGCCTTGCTGTTGTCTCTTTGGCTGTTCTTCTAGGCGCTGCTATGGCATATTTCAACATGTTTTCCAGTTTATTTTTGGTTTGTTTTGCTTTTTCTTGGGGGATGGGGCCACACCCGGCGATGCTCAGGGGTTCCTCCTGGCGCTGCACCTGGGAATCACTCCTGGCGGTGCTCAGGGGGACCCTAGGGGAATCGAACCGGGTTCCCCGAGTGCAAGGCAAATGCCCTCCCCACTGGACTATGACTCCGGCCCCTCGAGTTTATTTATTTATTTTGCTTTTTGGGTCACACCTGGCCATGCACAGGGGTTACTTCTGGCTCTGCACTCAGAAATTACTCCTGGTGGTGCTCACGGGATTATATGGGATGCTGAGAATCGAACCCAATCGCCCAGTGCGAGGCAAAAGCCCTACCCGCTGAGCTGTCACTCCAGCCCCTCTCGTTGAGTTTATTCTTATTTTAAATTCCACTGTGGTAGCTTGGAAGCAGACCACGACTGTGTTTTCTTTGCTTCCCAACTGCCTAACTTCGCAGGGCTCTGTAGTTGAGCCAATCACAGAAGTCTGACGTTTGACAGTCTGTGTCCCGGCTCCTGGTCTCTTCCATCCAGCACCGCAACCTTTGTGCTCTTTCCTCTGTTTTGGGGTCTGTAGTCTTCAGAAGATCCAGTTAGCAGTAACAGTCATTGAGAACCTGAAAAGCTGACTTCATTTTGGAGGCGATGCATGACCCATTTCAAAAGGAGGGAGAACTTTTCACAGGAAATAGCGATAACTGTTTAAGTAACCTTTGTAAACTGGACATAGCCATGGCAAATAGTTAATGAAATATTATAAACCTCAGTATCAGATCTGGATTTACGCCCCATCAGATAACAACGACGAGAATTTGGACTAGTTATTTAATTTATGTCAACTTCAGCGTCCTTAGGATGCTTTCTGCTTAATGTTGTGAGGACTTAACAAGATTGGGAAACTGAGAATTCGAGAAGGTAGTTGATTTACTTGAACTATAGTTTAGTTTATTACTTCTTGTTATTGTTTTGTTTGGGGTCACAATCCGCAGTGCTAGGGCTTACTCCTGGCAGGGACTCCGATGCCAGGTTTGGACCAAGGTCTGCTGCTTGCAAGACAAGAGCACTGCCCACTAGTCTCTCTAGCCTTTTATTACCTTTATAGTCCAGAGCGAACGTGAAATAGGATATTACTGCCTTCACTCCGTACTTATGACTGTTCCCCCTCCATATATAGAAGTTCAAAATGCTGTCAGTTGCTTAATTTGAGTGTGTGTATTTTAATTATTTAAATGGTCCAAAATACTGATTCATGTTGCAAAAAAAAATAGGCTGTTGTGTTATGAAATATAATATCCTGTGAGACATTTCAAGTCTAACACAAGTAGATAGGATTTTATTATCGAATGCACAGAGCACATTCTAAATATCTATAATGCTGTTTGAAAAATTTTAATTATTTGGTTATGATTTTGAGATGCATTTGGGGAGCCTGTCTTTAATTGTGTGATCTTCTTTTGTAGCATATCAGAGTTATCTTTAAATTCAACCCTGAATGGCATCAATCTTCACTGCAATAATATCTCAAAGATTGAAGCCATTGACCATATTTGGAATTTACAACATCTAGACCTGTCATCTAATCAAATAACTCGCATCGAAGGGCTAAACACACTGACGAAACTAAGCACTTTAAATTTGTCCTGCAATTTGATCACCAGAATAGAAGGTTTGTAAGTGATTTTTATGTTTGCCTGAAGAAGATGATTTAAGTCTTCTGCCCGAAAGAGTCAATAAATCATAAACTTTAGGAAAAGGGCTCCAAAATCCATTGTATAATGTTGAAAGTAGACTATAGACCGAACATGATTGCCACTCAATGCCTCTTTTGCAAACCACAGCACCCAAAAGGAGAGAGAGAGAGAGAGAGAGAGAGAGAGAGAGAGAGAGAGAGAGAGAGAGAGAGAACACAAAAGGGAATGCTCTGCCACAGAGGCGGGGTAGGATGGGGTTGGGGGGTGGGAGGGCTACTTGGATTCGTGGTGGTGGAGAATGGACACTGGTGGAGGGATTGGTACTCAATCATTGTACAACTGAAACCCAAGCACAAAAATTTGTAAGTCTAGAACTGTACCTCATGGTGTTTCAGTAATAAAATTTTTTTAAAAATCCATTGCATAAAAAATTTTATTAAGAAAAGTGTATTACTTCTTGTTATTGTTTTGTTTGGGGTCACAATCCGCAGTGCTAGGGCTTACTCCTGGCAGGGACTCCAATGCCGGGTTTGGATCAAGGTCTGCTGCTTGCAAGACAAGAGCACTGCCCACTGTACAGTCTCTCTAGCCCTTTTATTACCTTTTTTTTTTTTTTTTGCTTTTTGGGTCACACCCGGCGATGCATAAGTGTTACTCCTGGCTCATGCACTCAGTGATTACTCCTGGAGGTGCTCGGGGAACCATCTGGGATGCTGGGAATCCAACCCCGGTCAGCCGCATGGGAGGCAAATGCCTTACCGCTGTGCCATCGCTCTGGGTCCCCAACCTTTTATTATCTTTTAAACTACTGTGCAAAATGACAGTTAAACCACTGTGACTATTATCAGACAGTAGATCTGCTTCTGAACAGTCTGAAATACTGTTAGAATGTTATGAAACCCTGATCAATTGATTACTTGATTTCAATAAAGGCTATTTTATTTTAGGGCTTGAAGCACTGATTAATCTGACTAAATTGAATGTATCTTATAACCAAATAAATGATCTTAGTGGTAAGTAAATCTGCTTATGACTTTTATAGTTATGAATGTTTGACATACATAATGAGTTGATTGAGTTTGGCACATTTGAAACAAAATCTTAATTGAGTATTTGACCAAAAATTTCTCATTCAGAAAGGGTGGTTCAGTAATAATTCTCTTTGGTTGGTGTTAAAAAGTTGCACCAAAAGGACGAATAAAAGCTAGAGCAATCAGTAGCGGAAGAAGTTAGGGTAGGAAAGTCCTACTTTAGGAGAATCTAGGGGTAGGGGAAGTACATGGCAGTACTAGGGCTTAGTCCCAGCTCTGTGCTCAGGGATCACTCCTGGCAGTGTTCCAGGGATTACGTAATGTGCCAAGGATCAAACCCTGTTCAGCCATGTGCAAGGCAGTCTCCCTTCCCAGTGTACTAACTCTTTGGCCTAGTTGAGAACTATTCCTATAGTCCAGATGAGACATAAAGGGGAGCAGTAGAGAGATGATGCAGGGGGTACCCCGTACATGCAGCTGACCCTGCCTCCGAGCTCCTGAGCGCAGAGCCAGGAGTAAGCCCTGAGCACCACCAGGGTGCCCTCCACCCCAAAAGAAGGATGATGGGGATGTCAACTAGAGTAGAAACTGTAAATATGTTTGACAAGTAGAGTTCATGGAACCTGTGGCTAGATTGAGATGAGGAAATTAAGGTAATGGAGTCAACGATAATTAGCTGTTGAGTTTTCTCTATGGTACCCAGAGAAGAATGGTTTTCTAATGTAGGAAAGACCGGGGGAGGGATGAATTGTCCTATATGTACATGAATGAATGTAGTATATGTAATGAATGCTCTAACATCTGTACTCTAGATGTTATGCTAAAATCAAGAAAATGGAAGTGTTTGCTAATACCCAACAATGATGTATCGAGAGAGCCCATAGGTGTTGCTTTATGCTTACTCTTGTATTAAATTCACTCATTGGCCTGGGAAGGTTCATTTGAAGAGGGCCACGGCCCGGAACTTCTGGACTGAGGCCTCAGAGATTCTGAACCTCCTTTTCTTCAGAACGACTTTTGACTCTGCCATTATGCTTTTCTCCGAACGCTTGTCCACAGCGAGGACTTAGCTCTTCCCTTTGCCTCTAGGATTATCTACGTAAAAATTATCTTCAAATAGTTATGACTATGTTAAAATCTATTGGAAGAGCTGCTGCCATGACATCAAAAGATTTTTTTCCTATTGCAGGTTTGATTTCTCTCCATGGGATTAAACATAAACTTAGGTATATTGACTTACACAGTAATTTTGTAAATAGTGTCCATCATTTACTTCAGTGTACTGTGGGGTTACACTTCCTGACTAACCTTATTTTGGAGAAAGATGGAGAAGATAATCCTGTCTGCCATTTACCAGGTATGAGCGATTAATGTAATACTTTTTGTAACTATTAATATTTAATATGCCTTTGTTTCCTGCAACTGCCTCTTATTTATCTAATGCTTTGTAGCTTGTTATTATCACGATCACTATCACCCCGTTGTTCATCGATTTGCTTGAGTGGGCACCAGTCACGTCTCCATTCATCCTTGTCACATGCTAGTGTAGCCCAATGGCATACTTGGGGCTCTTTCAGGGTCAGGGGAATGAGGACCATCATTGTTACTGTTTTTGGCATATTGAGTACGCCACGGGTAGCTTGCCAGGCTCTGCCATGTGGGTGAGACACTCTCGGTAGCTTACCGGGCTCTCCAAGAGGGATGGAGGCTTTGGGGTTATCCTCTCATCACCTTTACAGCTTGTTATTATGTATTTAGAAAAATACAGTTGCAAGTTCTCTTAATACAGAGTGTATGTAATACAGAATGAACTGTTAAGTACTTACATGTAGACACATTTTAAGTTTGATATGTGGCCTCAAAGTTAATCTTTAGGATATATTATTTTTTAAAAAAATTGATTTATTTTGCTTTGGGGGCCACACCTGGAAGTGCTCAGCGGTTACTCCTGGCTTTGTGCTCAGGAATCACTCCTGGTGCTGCTCTGGGGACCATCGGGGACCATAAGGAAAGCTGGGGATCCAACCTGGGCCAGCTGTGTGCAAGACACCCTACCGCTGTACTATCTCTTTATCTCCCCATTATATTTTTATAGAAGGCCTTGCAGCCCTAAAAACATATAGAAGCTCTTTACCTATTGATTAGTCAATTATCTTTAAGACAACTGTTGAGAAAAGGAAAAATAATCAAATTACAAAATAGTATGTGCATTGCCTTATGTGTGAATAGTACATTTAAAACGTTTTGTTTTGTTGAGTATATACACAACCTAGAAGAATACATTATATATACATAAAGTCTGCATGTCTATATACATCTACATGTATACATATGTATATATAGAATCGTATATATTATATCTAGAAGTATGCAACAGATTAAACTGTTCTAGCTGGCAAACTACAATATTAGATGATAGGAAATTGAAATGTGGAAAGGTAACTGGGAATCAAAGTTAAGAAAGCTTTATCCTGTATCCCTTTTGAATTTTGTACCATCTGTGTTAAATTATTGACAAAATTTAATAGAGACCACCAGTGGTGCTAGCAATGAATCAGACTTAGGACCTTGCACATACTAACCTCTACCACTTGGAGCCATACCCTCTGGTTATTATGAATGATTTTTTTTTTTTTTTTTTTTTTTGCTTTTTGGGTCACACCCGGCAATGCTTAAGGGTTACTCCTGGCTTTGCACTCAGGAATTCTGGTCACGGTCCTCCCGTTGTTCATCGATTTGCTCGAGCGAGAACAGTAACATCTCTATCATGAGACTTGTTGTTACTGTGTTTTGGCATATCGAATACATCACGGGTAGCTTGCCAGGCTCTACCGTGCAGGCGAGATACTCTCGGTAGCTTGCCAGGCTCTCCGAGTGGGGTGGAGGAATCGAACTCGGGTCGGACATGTTGGCCGCTTCTAAGGCAAACGCCCTACCGCTGTGGTATCGCTCCAGCCATCAGGAATTACTCCTGGCAATGATCGAGTGGACCATATGGGATGATGGGAATTGAACCCAGGTTGGCTGTGTGCAAAGCAAATATCCTACCCGCCGTGCTATTGCTCCAGCCCCTATGAATGATATTTTTAAGAAGAAAGCAAAATACTTCTCTGGGTTTTTTTGGGGGGTGGGGGGCGGTGGGAAGGAGGCTGGGAGGGGCTATTTCAGGTGGTGCTCGAGGCCCACTGCTGGCTCTGTGTTCACTCTTGGTGGTGCCAGAGATCAAACCAGGCTTGATCATGGACAAGGCAAGAGTCTTAACCCCTGTACTGTCTTTCTGACCCTCAACTTATTAGTTAGTGGAAATATTCCCCAACTGGTGGACTGTTGCCGCTAGAGCGAGAAGACTCAGGGCCAGGCTGGGCGTGTAAGAATACTTGTATTTCTCCAACCACGCGAGAGCGTTGGGACACGGCAGCCCAGCCAGCACCCGCAGCTGCTTTGGTTCTCTGTGGCCTGAGCATCTCATCCCCTGGGTCTGGATTTGGGTCCGGGTCCAAGCTAGCGTGCGGACTCTGGGCTTAGCAGTTTCCTTAGAAGGTTCGGGTTTGAGTTAAAGCCAGCAGCAGAAGAAGCTTGGAGCCGGATGGAAGAAGAAGTTGGAGTCTGAACACATTAACTGTTCTTCCTGGCGTCTGTATCTGGCAGCTACAACTGGGATCGAAGTTTCCATCCTTTCCAGGAAGGAGTGTTTTACACACAACACAGACCAGAGGTGAAACAAGAGCTGGCTGCATGCACGCAGACTTGAGAAAGAACCAAAGGGGCAAATGGGCAGTCATGTGCATTTAAAGGGGTGAATGGTTTACATGCAGGAAGCCCAGATTTTATCTCCATCACCTGGTGGTCCCCCGAACACCACCAGATCAGTGAACTTGGAATAACCCCTGAGCACTGCAGGATATGACTATCCTAACCCTGGGGGGGGGGGGGGGGGATGTTGTGAAAATTGGTTACGTTCCTGTTCTTGTTCTGGGGCTCTTCCCAGGATCTAGCTGTAGAGTCAGCCTTGACTTTCTGCCCAGAAGTCTGAGGCCAGTGCAGCTTTGGTATCTTGCACTTCAATTTCTACAACATTTCCGCTACATTAATCCACTGCCAAGGGTTCGTAATTCTCAGTAAGCGACAAAGGAGCATTGTATAAGGCACTGTTCTTAGGCTGGAATTTTGCCTGTCAACACAATCAGTGATGCTGCTAATGTGCCATTTGATGAAATTCAGATTCATTGAAATTGGCAAAGATAAAGCAGATCAAACTCATTTCTAGAACTCATCTCAAATTCTTAACCAAACAATCAGGCACAGGTGTAAAATACTTACATTCCAACTTTACATTATCCGGATCTCCTGGCTGCAAAGGCCCTGTCCCATCATAAATATGCAACTTTCAGGCTTCTTTTGATATGTTATTTCACAGAAGTGTTAGTAGGTGAGGCTGGAACCATAGTACAGCAGGTGGGTTCTGGCCTTGTAGCCAACCTGACTGAGTTCACTCCCTGGCACCCATCCTTATGTTCCCCTGAGCACAAATTCCTGAGTACAGACAGTCTTTTGGATAATTTCCGAGGACTGATTCCTGAATCCAGAGCCAGAGTAACTCCAGAGCATCACTGGATGTGGTTCCCCTGCAAAAAAAGGAAAGAAAAAGAAATACCTTAGAGACCAGGTTTGAAAGTTAGTCCAGGGGATAAGGCGTTTGTCTTGCACACGGCTGACCCAACTTAAGTCACTGGCATGCCATATGATCCCCCGAGCCCACCAGGAGTGATTCCTGAGTGCAGAGCCAGAAGTCACCCTTGGGCACCACTGGTTATGGCCCCCAAACTAAAAATATATCCCTTGGATTTTAAATTACAGTTGAGGCGTAATTTTACAGGACTATTACTCAGTGGTTAACTGCATGGTAACATGCATGGTAACATGCATGGCACCATAACTAATGAAGTAATAAATACTACAGTTATAAAGAAAATAAGCATGCTTGGTCTACTCAGTATTTTATAGATTACAATTTGGTTTTGGGGGAGGAGTTGTTTTTGGGTTTTTGGTGGTTTTTTTTGTTTTCCTTTTGTTTTTGTTTTTGTTTTGCTTTTTGAGTCATACCTGGCCATGCTCAGCAATTACTCCTGGCTCTGCACTCAGGTATTACTGCTGGTGATGTTCCAGGGACCATATGGGATGCCCGGATTGAACCCGGGTCAACCGCGTGTAAGCCAAACACCCTACCCACTGGACTATCACTTTGGTCCTGTGGCCAGAAATTGTGCCTATGACCCAACCTGCCACTCCTGTTCTTAATCTTATAGGGACAAAATGAGTGTGCTTATCACTAATAATAGAAGCACCACTAATAGAATTGTGACTGGTTGTATTATCACCCTGGCTAATACACCCTGGCTAATACGTATTCTAATCATCACTTGATCACGTGATCACTTGACTTCCCGTTAATCATCTACTTGCTTGAGCAGGCGCCAGTAACATCTCCATTTGTCCCTTTTTCGTGCTAGTGTAGCCCAATGGATTCGTTTGTTCTAGCAACACAAAGAGCCTCAAACCGATGATTCAGGGTCTTGACGAAGAAGTCTGACCATCTGGTAGGTGGGCAGCCACATGGTCTTTTGACGTCCTGTGGGATCCAGTCGGTAACGGCTCTAATCCAGCGGTCATATCCAAATCTCATTACGTGACCAGCCCATCTGATTTTCGACACCTTGGCAAATGAGACAGCGTCCCTGATTTTTGATCGTCAACAGATGTCAGAACTCCAGATTCTTTCTCTCATTTGAGTGAAACGTGATATTCCAAGCATAGCTCTTTCAATTCCTCTTTGGGAGACCTGAATAGCATTCTCATCCTGTTTGCTTAGGGCCCAGGTCTCTGAGGCATATGCTAATGCAGGAAGAACAGTGGAATCAAAGAGATGTGCCCAGAGCCGGAGGTTCTTCGTCCTCTTAGCTATTTCTTCGAAGCTCTTGAAGCGGCTCTTCCAAGCCGCTCTCTTCTTCCTGCCCAACTCAGGTGCCAGGTCATTCGTCCTGGTGACTTCTTGACCTAGGTACACATAACTGTTGCATTCGGAGATGGTCGTTCCATTGAGAGTGAATGGGGCGTCAGGAACAAGGCTGTTTCTCATAAACATTGTCTTCGTAAGATTCAGCTGTAGTCCTACTTTCCACACTCACGGTCAAAGTTGGTCAGCATTTGTGCCGCTTGGCTGATGTTTGGTGTTATTAGAACAATGTCATCAGCAAAGCAGAGGTGGTGTAGTTGCCGACCATCGATCTTCACTCCCATTCCTTCCCATTCCAGTTGTCGCATGATGTTCTCGAGGGTGGCACTGGAGAGTTTCGGTGAAATGGTATCATCCTGCCGAACCCCTCTTGACATCGATGATCACTTCTTTGTAGAATGGTGAGATCCTGGCAGTGAATCCCTAATACAGCTCACGGAGGATCCTGATGTACTGAGTTTGAACGCCCTGATCGGCTAGGGCTTCAATGACTGCTTCCGTCTCAACAGAATCAAAGGCCTTCTTTAAATCAATGAACGTTAAGTAGAGCGGCATCTTGAACTCCCGAGAAACCTCAATGAGCTTGGTTATTGTGTGGATATGGTCGATGGTGCTGAATCCTTTGCGGAACCCGCCTTGTTCGCATGGCTGTCCTTCATCTAGTGTTCTGCCAATCCTATTCAGGATGACTCGAATGAATAGCTTGTAGGTGACAGACAAGAGGCAGATCGGGCGATAGTTGCCAGTGTCGTGGATGTCTCCCTTGTACAGTAGTACAGTCCTGCTGGTTTTTCATTGGGATGGAACCTTGCATTCAGACAGGTAGCTTGTGAAGAGCCGGGCTAGTATATTGTGACTTTCTGTCTAAATAAGATAGGCATTTTTGAAAAGATAAATATATACATGATGAGACGTTACTGGGCCTGCTCGAGCAAATCGACGATCAACGGGAGGGCCTTTATCTTATCTTTATCTATTTTAACTTTCTGATCTTTATTCTAAAGGGTTGATGGTGAAGGTGATGTGTGTTTATTTTATGTTTCATAATTTACACACTGATAAACTGAAGAATCACTCTTCTTAGAAGTTTATTGCATTTCAGGACTAATTTTGCCATTCAGATAACATATCTGGTAGTTGATAAATTTACCTACAAATAATCTATCCCTGCCCCCCCTCCCCCCCCCCCCGTCCCCCGTCCCCGGTTTCTCTCTCCAGTGTTTGGCTTTTCATTCTGAATCATTTGTTTCCAAGGGTACAGAGAAATTCTGCTTCAGGCCTTGCCGCAGCTTAGAATCCTAGATTGCAAGAACATATTTGGGGAACCAATCAATATCCCAAAAATGAATTTTTCACGTCTGCAGTGCTTAGACGGTCTTTTGGATAACTTAGTTTCTTCAGATTCTCCTCTAAACATAAGTGAAGATGAGGTAGGGGGACTTTTTTCTCATTTAGAATAGATTGCAAATTTTAATAACAGACAAGTCCACCTGGACAGGTTTCCATGTTTTTTTGTGTTGTAGATCATCAGTTGTGTGCCCAAGGTTTCGCCGTCCATCAATGAGGTCGCTCCCATGGATCAGTTCGCAAGTACCGAAACAGATGCTGCTTTGACATCTCTCATGTCTGAGTGTCCGTCTTCTGAACCAGAAAAAGTAAGTTATGAGAAGAGTTTTCAGAATGAGATGAAGTATCAGATAAGAAATCATCCGACTTTATCACCTAATCACTGGAATAACTACTTTTCTATGTTTCTAAGCAATGATTGCTTAATTTTTGTTTTTGTTTTGTTTTCGGGGCTTACTCCTGGCTCAGTGCTCTCCTGGCAGGTTCGGGGGACCTTATGGGGCTGGGACCCGCGTCCATTGTACTCTTATTCTGGCCTCTTCTTGTCCTTTAAATCTTGGTTAAGCAGTTTCCTTTTTTCTACTGTACTTCACATTCTTTCTACCCACCAATCTTTGATTTCAACCTTAAATGAGTAACTTTTTTGGTTCAAGGTTTATTTGCATAGAGAAAATGTGAATTACTTATGACCTCTGCTGTCCCTTCAGTTGTTTAATGACCAGAATTACTTCAAGAACTTCGCTGCATCCCAGATTAGTTTACATAGTAGTTCCTGCTTCAGTTTCCCTGTCCAGCAAACACTCATCAAACTTGTCTCTTGTAATCCCCCTTAACCTCTCTTTATGGTTCTCAGGTTTTCAGAATCTTTGAACTCTGTGGATGAATGCAGTTCCCAGAACTTTTTCTTTGTTTCGTGCATTTTTCCTTTAGCATGATTGCAGTGTTCTCTGGTAATAATAACATTGTTTTCTGGAACACAAAAACTCCCAGAAAGAAGGAGATTTTTATATCTCCACTCTCTGAGTGAATGTCAGGTTGACCAGGAGGGCTGTTAGTCAAATGTTAGTTTGACTTAGAAACTCGGCAATTTTAATATTCCATTTTCATCCTCAGAATGGGGTACATGTGGAAAGTGGTGGAACGGGAGTGGAAAATGCTTCTGTGGTTCTGTGGGCTGTTAATAATCCAGAACCGTTACAGCTGTCACAGCAGTAATGCTCGATAGACTTTGCGTTGAGTGCTCGTGACAATCGACGAACAACAGGATGATCTTGATCGTGATCGTGATCGTTTCTACATAAGTCTTAAGTCTCTGGCATGGAAATGAATCATGTGCCCTCAAAAGAAAAAAGTAAATAAAAGCAAAATATCATACTCTGATCTTCTGCTCTATTCCAAGTTGCAGCTCCCTACTAAGTCAGCTGTTACTCACTTTCTCTGGTCTCTAAATAGTTGGGGGAGGGGCAGAGGGAGGTGTTAGACTGTCCAAGAATTCAGGATTGTTGCCTCCAGAGTCGATTTTGTAGGAAAAGTCTTGACTTGTACTGGCCAGGGGCCGAATCCCTTATCTTTAATACCAACCACACTTCATTTATAAACCTTTGAGCTTGTGAATGGGCTGGAGCGCTAGATCGGTGGGTAGGGCACAGGACCGACCCGGCCGATTCAATTCCTCCGCCTCTCTCAGAGAGCCCGGCAAGCTACCAAGAATATCTTGCCTGCATGGCAAAGCCTGGCAAGCTCCCCATGACGTATTCGATATGCCAAACACAGTAACAAGAAGTCTCACAATGGAGACGTTACTGGGCCCACTCGAGCAAATCGATGAACAGTGGGAGGACAGTGACAGTGACAGAGCTTGTGAAAAGTAATGAAAACTTTTAGGCAATTTCTAATTTTAATCTTTCGTACTGAGTTGAACTTGTCAGAAACTTTGTTGGTCTTTTTTTTATTCTAGGCTTCTAACTCATTAGCAAATGATCTTCCCAAGAAAGATACCAGACCAAAAAGACATCCGGATTTTACTTCTGAAAGTGACTATGAAAAAAAAGAATCCAGCAGAAGAATTCCTCGAAGATCAAAAATTCCTTATTATGCTAGAAGTATTCAGCCTCTTAAGTACCACAGTAAAAGTAGCAGCACTTTTATAAGGTAGTTTTAGAACAAGTTAAGGCACATTGAAGTTAATACTACTGTTTTCTCCCTTAAAGTTCCCCTATGGTGATAATTTTCCTTTTTAAAAATTAAAGATTTTACTTTTGGGGGATTCTGGGTAAAATTTGGTCAGTATATTTATATAAAACTCATATAAGAGGAAAACCTCTTTCTGTGATACGGGTAATTACCAAAGTTATGAAAAACATTACAAATATTATGCATTTCTTTGGGCTATTGCCTATGTTTTATTCTTTACAGCTGTCGTAGAATCAAGCAACTGCCCTTAAAAGATTTACATGTAAGATCATCTACAGTGAGCACAAATTTACTGGAAGAATCAGAAGAGCCAAAGAATGAACTGTGTAAAGTAGAAAGAAACGACTCTGAAAACAGCACTTACCGGGTAAGATTAGATTTAGAAAAGAATGAAGAATCTTAGTTTTTTAAAAGTATACAAAGTTGGTCTTAGAAAAAAAAAATATTTGTTTTTATAAGCAAACATATCATGTGTGGTTTTATTGAGTTGATGAGATTGAGTTTATTTTACCACTCCTGATTTTTAAATTCTGTGTAATATTTTGGTAACTTTCAAAGTAATAAGAATAACACTGGGCTAGAGCAATAGTAGAGCGGGTAGGGTGTTTGCCTTGCACGAGACCAACCCGGGTTTGATTCCCAGCATCTCATATGGTCCCCTGAGCACCACCAGGAGTGATTCCTGAGTGCAGAGCCAGGAGTAACCCCTGTTCACCACTGGCTGTGACCCCCCCCAAAAAAAGCAAAGAAAAAAAGGAGAACACTTATTTTAGATAAGATTTCAGTGAAATCATGTCATGGTCTTGTGGAAGATGGATATTGCACATTTATTTAAGATCAGATTTACATAAAGTTTATTTGTCACTTTTTTTTTACCATTTTTGCTGTTTTAAAATTTAATTTATAATTTAATCTCTGCGAAGTACACAGTTGCAATGTTGTTCATGATTGGGTTTCAACTATATAATGTTTCAACATCCATCCTTCCACCAGTGTACATATCCTACCACCAATGTCCTCAGGTCCCCCGGTCACCACACCTGCTCCCTGTAAGCATGTTACATGCTTATTTGAGGAGAAAAAAATTCAAATTATTATTTCATGAATCAGTGGTTTTTGACTTCTTGAGTCTCAGGCCCGTTAGTTATCTAAGGACACCTCTGGGTCTTCTCAGAGACCTCCACCTTTATATGCGCTCACCAAATGTGTATAATTTCAGCATAAACCCTCGTGTATTTTACAGGAAGAGGTGTTTAAGAATTCTTAGTATACTTTAATTTGTTTTGTTTTCAATTAACTTGTCTTTATTTTATCTGTGAGGTACTGATAACTTTTTATTGAGTTGTGCACTATTCCTCCAGAAATGCAATTTATTTTTATTTATATTTGGTTTTCAAACCACTGCCAAGCTGTGTCAGGGTTTACTCCTGGCTCTGTGCTCAGGGATCACTCCTAGCAGTGCTCATGGGCTGGAGATCAAACCCTGATAAACTGCTTGAAGGCAAGCACCCTGCATGCTAAACTGTCTTTTCAGCCCCAGCTGCTTTTAAAGCATTTCAGATTTTCCATGCTATTGTTTTCCTCCCCCTTTTTATGCATAGAGACCTTAGTAGCACTGTCTGTAGCACTGTCCTCCCATTGTTCATCAATTTGCTCAAGCGGGCACCAGTAACGTCTCCATTGTGAGACTTGTTGTTACTGTTTTTGACATATCAAATACGCCATGGGGAGCTTACCAGGCTCTGCTGTGTGGGCGGGATACTCTCAGTAGCTTGCCGGGCTCTCCAAGAGGGACGGAGGAATCGAATCCGGGTCAGCTGCATGCAAGGCAAATGCCCTACCTGCTGTGCTGTATTATGACAAATCATTAGCATGGTTGTTTTGTACCATGAACCGTTCTGCACCACTTGACTTTCATGAAACTGTTGAATTCTCACCAATGACCTTAGAAATGGATTCCATATTACAAATGAGGCAGTGAGGGGTGAGGTACCTCTTCTAAATTCCCCTTATACTATTGTTTCATTTTTATTCAGGCACTGGTTGAACAACTAGATCAAGAGAGAGAAAAAAGATGGAAAGCTGAACAAGCCGAGAAGAAACTTCGGGATTATATTGATGAACTTCATAAACATGTAAATCAAAAAAAAGGTATTCATAGCTTGGCCCTACTTACCACAGAAAGGTAAGTGTAAATGTCTCTTAACCGGATATAGACAAACCGGATAAAGAGTACCCAAATTAGGGGCTGGAGCGATAGTACAGAGGGTAGGGTGTTTGCCTTGCACGCAGCCGACCTGGGTTCGATTCCCAGCATCCCATATGGTCCCCTGAGCACCACCAAGAGTAATTCCTGTGTGCGAAGCCACGAGTAACCCCTGTTCATCACCAAGTGTGACCCCCCCCCGCCAAAAAAAAGCCAAAAAAAACAAAAAGAAAAGAAAAGAATATCCAAATTAGAACTGAAATCCTGTCGTAATTAGCAATAGCAAGACTGGAAACAGCGTGATGTCATCTTGAAGATGTAGTGCTGCCTTACCTGCTATATCAGTGGCGGAGTCAGGGAACGTTTATTTGAGGCCTCACACTTAGGAGGTCAGGCATGTAAATAACATGAATAGAGACTAACAGCCAGGATTGCCGTTTTTCTGTCCACACTGTCCTCCCGTTGTTCATCGATTTGCTCGAGCAGGCCCAGTAACGTCTCCATTTTTTTGAGACTTGCTGTTACTGTGTTTGGCATATTGAACACGTCACGGGTAACTTGCCAGGCTCTGCCGTGCAGGCAAGATACTCTCGGTAGCTTGCCAGGCTCTCTGAGAGGGGCGGAGGAATCGAACCCGGCTCAGCCAGGCTTGCTGCGCTCAAGGCAAACACCTTACCGCTGTGCTATCGTTCCAGTCCCGTTTTTCTGCATAGTATCATTTTATGTAAAGGACAAGAATGGGCAAACTCATTTGCTAGATGTTGGGCATCCTTGAAGGCACACACTGTATCTTACCCATGTTGTTTATTTTTTTCCCCACACCTAGCACAATATGAAAAAGTATCTAAAAAGTTTTACTATTATTTGAACAGTAGAGTTCACATAAGATTAGGTTTCATTTGACAGGAGATTGATAGGATGGGGGAGAGAGTGTGTCATTGTTGGAAGAGAACAGGCTATCTTGGGGCAGGGGCGGGGCAGTGGGGATTGTTTTATGCATGACACCCTGCCGTTAATAGGATTATAAATCATAGCACATCAAATTTTAAAAAAAGATTATTTTGATGAATTTATATGAAACTTTCTACTTCTTGGTGCAGTATTAGTCTGAGGGAAGGGGCATAATATAATTCTGTTCTCGCCTTTAATGCTGACTACCAGTTTTATTCCTTCTGCATGCATAATAAGCTTCTAAAACCACATTTGGTTTCTGCTATAGGCTAAAGGAAATTATTTTCAAAGAGAGAAGTGCCAAAGTGCAACTCGAAATGATGGTTCACAAACTTCAAAGTGAAATTAAAAAGCTAACTATTGAACTGATTAAAGCAAGGAATCAGCAAGATGATCACATTGAACACTTAAGAACCCTGGAAAAGTCACTAGAGAAGATGGAGAGACAAAGGGGACAGCAACAGGCTGCACAGGTGATGCCCTTCCAGCCTGGCGTGAATCCGTGTTCTCCCTTCCATCATCCTAAAGCAACGTATCCTATAAAAGTAAAGGGTGTTGGGCCAGAGAGCGAATGTAGTGAGTTGGGAGTTTGCCTAGCGCACAGCCAACCTGGGTTCTGTTCCTGACATCCCATAAGGTTCCCCGAGTCTGCCAGGTGTGATTCCTAAGTGCAGAACCAGGAGTTACCCCTGACTATCACTGGGTGTGGCCCCCAAAACAGACTAACAAAAAAATTAATTTAAAACACTCACACACACACACACACACACACACACACACACGGTGTTAGACTATATGCAAACATTAACCTGTGCAATTACTTCCGAGTTCAAGCTATCAGCACTTACAAAACCATTATTAGTAGAGTGTCTAGAAATACTTTGGCTCTTAAATTCTGGGAAAGCCAAATTCTCAAAGAGCCTTTGAAGGTACTTGGAGTTATTTTCACATTTATGCTTCGTGAACGGAAATAATCGTTAAAATCAGTGATGCCAAGTCATCGTCTATTCTTGTGTTTGATGCTTTCGACTCTAGTCCAAATATCAAGCCCACCCCCACAACCCCACCAACATTTTTCTGCCATCAACAATGGAGCCACACCCCAATCCCCCCCCCCCCCCCCCCCAGCTAATCCTGTCTCTGTACTCAGGAGTCATTCCTGGGGAACAGCACTAGTGATCACTCCAAGGTTAGCCAGATGCAAAGCAGACTCTTGAATTCCAGTACGTTATAGTCAACCCTCTTTAAAAACAAAAAAATGTTAAGATCAATCTAATTATTTATTTATTTATTTTATTTTTGGGTCACACCCAGTGATGCACAGGAGTTACTCCTGGTTCAGGCACTCAGGAATTACTCCTGGCGGTGCTCGGGGGATCATATGGGATGCTGGGAATTGAACCCGGTTCAGCCATGTGCAAGACAAATGCCCTGTCCTCTGTGCTTTTGCTCCAGCCCCACAATCTAATGATTTCATCACAAAATTCTATTTTATAGAATAATGCACTGGGGGAGGAGTTATCATTTAAAAAAAAAAAGAGTTCTTCTCTAAATGGAATCTTTGGGTCTGGGAGATACGAAGGCAGCTGGGACGCATGTAGGCATGCACTGAAGCCCAGCACCATGTGGTCTCTGGGTGTCCCTGAGGACCTCCAGGGTGGCCTGATGACTCAGGCCAGGATACTGCAGTGCCCGGGGAACACCACAGCCTCACCAGCTTCATGGGCTGAGCATCCCCGGAGGGTCCCCCAAGCCTCCTGTGCACCACTCGGGGCCAAAAAAAAAAAAGTTTGAAAATATTCTAGGGGCCGGAGAGATGGCTCAGTGGGTGGCGCATGCCCCCGACCTGAATTCATTCCCCAGCACCCCATGTGGACTACTGAGCCTTGCAAAGACTTTTTCCTAAGGACAGAGCCAGGAGTAAACCCTGAGCACCACCGGCCGTCGCCCCCAAAACAAAAGTAAATAAATAATAGAGTTTGGGGCTGGAGCGATAGTACAGGGGTCAGGGTACGTGCCTTGTATGTGGCCAACCTGGGCTCTCCCCAGCACCCCAGCTGGTTCCTGAGCTCCTGCAGACACGATCCCTGTGTGCAGTGCCAGGCGTGAGGCCTGAATACCGCCCTGTCTGAGCCCAAACCAAAAAATACACAAATAATAAAATTATACTCTACCTGTGTACATTTTTTTTCTCAGATGAGACTCATCCAAGAGGTGGAGGTGAAAGCTGCCGCTGCGGATAGAGAAATCAACCTGCTTAGGTCTTCCCTGCACCAAGAAAAAGAGCAAGTGCAGCAGCTTCATGATCTCATTGCCATGAAGGAGCAAGAGTACAGGTGAATGGGCGTCTCGTCAGGGAAATCCGGACTCTCAAATCTAGAACACCGCTGGGTTCTTCTCTCGGCCTCATACCTGAAACAAGACAGTGATTGAGCAGCGGTAATTTCTGACACCGCTTAAATTTACTGCGTTTATATGCACATTTGAGTTAATTTGATGCCAGCAATAATCAAGAGCTAGGATGTTTGGGGGGGAAGATCTCAGGCCGCACCTGCTGGTGCACAGGGCTTGCTCCTGACTGCTCAGGGGTCGCTCCGGGAGAGACTCCGGGAACTGTATATGTTCTGGGATCCTAATGCAGATCAACCGTGTGCAGGGCAAGCCCCGCTGTGCTGTCTCTTCAGCCCGAAAAGCTAGGGTTTTTTTTTTTTTTTTTTTTTTTTTTTTTACCTATGTGTTGGGGATTCGGTAATTTCAGTTCCTAGAAATCTGATGTCTTTTGTCCTTAAACTATTTTTATTTCACGGCCACTTTGCCCTTGTTTTCTGCTATGAAATTCTGTGTACATCAGTTGTAGAGTTCCAGATTGGGGTAGCAACAAATAAAGACGCTTCCGTCCTTGAAGGAACTGCATCGCCAAAGCCAAATAGATTGGGAAGGAGGAGAAAGATAATGTGAGATTGGTTCATTGATGGGTGCAGGAAAGCATGTACGGTTACAGAAGTATGACTGCATCAGAATTTTTTAGTATTGGAAACCAATGGTAAGCCATTGCAATTTTATTTTTAAGACAAAGTAGAAGAGAGTCCAGGGCCAGAGAGCTAGTCCAGGGGTGAGGCACTTGCCTTGCCTGCGGTAGACCCATCTGAGCACAGAGCCGGAAGTAAGCCCTGAGCACTGCCACTTGTGGCCCAAACACAAAATGAAAAGGGGGAGGAGGTGGAGGGAGGACGGAGAGTGATAGGAAAAAAAGGGGGGAAAAATGAAAAACATTTCAAACTGTGTAGGTCCAGGGGGTTGTAGTTTTATAGTTATCAACCCTGTTCTGTAGAGTTCCATTTGAGCACCAAGCCGGAAATAAGCCCTGAGCACAGCCAGGTGGTGTGGCCCAAACACAAAATGGAAAGAGAGAGAAGGAGAGGGAGAGGGAGGGAGGGGGGAAAGGAAGAAGAGTGATGGGAAGGGAAGGAAAAAAAGAATGAAAAACATTTCAAACTTTGTTGGTCCATGATGTTTTATAGTTATCAACCCTGTTCTATTGAGTCAGTAACTAAAATAATTTTTCTTTTTACCTACTTACTGCCCTACCAGTTGAACTGTAGATTGCCATGGAAGAATTATATGTGTTCTCAAACCTGTTTTGTTTTTGTCCTTATATAACTTAAATTTTGATGCTTTGGGGAAAGTGGTTATTGTGGGGGCGGGCAAGACAGCTGCGAGAGATGATGATAAAAATCACAAAAAAATATATAGAATTTTGCACTCAAGTTTTCTTTATAAATAGATCTTTTCGCTTTTTTTACTACAGTTGAAAGAAGCCAAAATTGTAAATGAAGGATTTTGTGTTATATTTATCTAAGAAAAATAGCGGGGGAATCTTAAAGAAGGAATTCATAGTTGTTAGATTAAAAAGCAACACCCCCAATGAAAATATTAGTGAAAATTTTTTCACCTTATTCTTTTATCGGCCAGGCACCAATACCAATAGAGCCGGATTTAGTGTATATCAGAGACTGAGCAAAAATAGAAGATATAGAAAGTATCCAAGTAGTAGAAGAAAGTGGAGCAGCACATGTGCGTAAAGAATTTTGGGAGTTCCAAAATGATTCTGAACTACCAGTAGCGTTAAGATTCGGTATATTCCTCCTGTTCTCGTCACCACTCAGTTCACACCCACATAAAATTCCTCCACTTGCTCTGCCGTACCTTGCCCTCTCTCCGTGTTTGAAATTGAGGAATTTAATCTCCGAGCAACAATGAGGAATGTTGAATATTTATTTAAGAACACTTTTTAAAGGCCTTGAAATTGATTCTTTCCCAATGAATAGCATCCTGGGATTTTTTTTTTTTTTATCTTCCAGGAAAGAACTTGAGACGCGGCAGTTTTTCACTGAAGCTGCCTTTGAGGAAGCTGTCGCTAAGGAAGTCGCTAAAGAGGAGAGGAAGCACGAGCAGGATATAAAAAACTACCAAGAAAAAATTGAGACATTAAATCAGCAGTATATAGATCTGGAAAATGAATTCCGTATCGCTTTAACCCTTGAAGCCAGAAGATTTAAAGACGTAAGGATCTGGCATCTTAACTCATTAAATCAGAGTCACGCGTGGTCTGCCGAATGTTTGAGATCTAGCTGTTTTGCACTTTAAGCTTTAAGCTCTTAAGCACCTGACTCAAACTCATAGGACCTTGGTTTTCTCACATAAATATTAGCCATTCTGCTGTTGAACGATTTAAAACAGATACAAATGCTGAAGAGGACACTGGGATAGGAACTGAGAAGGCGGGATTCTTTTCTTTCCAGTAGTTTAGAGTAGGGGTTGGCAAAACTGAAGTCCCGGAGCCATATTTCACTCACTGGCTGTTTCTGTTACTCAGATTTTTATTAGAACAATCCCTACACATCTGTGGCCTTCTTTTCTGTGACTGCTTTTGTTGTACGGTTGTTTGCAGAGGAGAATTCCTGGAACCCAGATTGCATGGCCTGTCCTGCAGTTTCTCCTTACTCTCTGACTCGACAACAAATAATTTGACAAGAAGAACATCTTATTCCTGAAGCCAGTGTCTCAGGGGCCCACCTCATCTCTATCCGTTAAGGATGTGGCTCTGGCAAACCATCCCTTGCATTAATCAGCAGTTTCCCCTTCTACCAGATCATTCTCCAATGGAGACGTTACTGGGCCCGCTCGAGCAAATCGACGATTAACGGGAGGACCTTTACCTTACCTTTACCTTTACCAGATCATTCTGTCCCACATAGACACATGTTACGATTTCTCTCTCTTTACGAGATTGTCTGCTACTGCCTTGTCTCTGCATTAATTGGCAGCTGAACTTTCCAAATTTTGTATTGCCTCTTTCTGACTTCCCCAATTCTTTCTAACTCTAACTTCTTCCAGTCAAGCTTTTAAATTTTATTTTCTATTTATCCACCATCCCCACCAGCGTCACTGAAAGTCATCAGTAAATTGATTTTTGAGTTGTACCAACAAAACTGATCTCTTCCTCTTTCTCTAAACTATTACCTTCCTTGAGTTTTAATATGTTTATGTTGGTAATTGCCTATTTAACATCTTGACTTAGCTGTTGGCCTAACACCCAGATCTTAGACTGTCTTCTTGTCTAAATTAATAACAAATGCTAAGGTTTAAGTCTGTGTCATTCACTGATGCATTCTGGAACCTGCAGCATTGTCTGACATAGCCAGCCCTCAGGAAATACTTGTTATTTATGGACAAACAAAAACAAACAAAACACTGTCCTTCCGTTTTTCATAGATTTGCTCGAGCGGGCCCAGTAATGTCTCCATTTTTGAGACTTGTTGTTACTCTGTTTGGCATATTGAATATATCGCAGGCGAGATACTCTCGGTAGCTTGCCGGGCTCTCCTAGAGGGACAGAGGAATCGAACCCGGCTCGCCCGGGCTGGCTGTGCGCAAGGCAAATGCCCTACCGCTGTGCTATCATTTGAGCCCATATATGAACATATACTTATATGATGCTCCAGCCCATTTATGAACATATATTTATATATGACACAACTCGTTAGGTGAGTGAGGGGAAATGTATAACTTCCATGGATCTGTTTCATCATCTGGTAATGAGTAGATTGAAAAAATAAGTAAGATATTTGAGGGAAGGTGCTGGAGCAATAGCACAGCGGGTAGGGTGTTTGCCTTGCACGCGGCCAACTCGGGTTCAATTCCCAGCATCCCATATGGTCCCCTGAGCACCACTAGGAATGATTCCTGAGTACATGAGCCAGGACTAATCCCTGTGCATCGCCAAGTGTGACCCAAAGATGGGTAATCTCCCAAGCCTGCTAGGGAACTAGGACCCCATTGGCAACTCTTGGCCAGCGGGGTCAGTGGTTCAGTGCCAAGGACTGAGGATGCTGGGGATTCCCCAGGCTACCCCAGCGATGCTGGGGACCTGCAGTGTTTATACCCAGAGATGCTCAGGGAACCATGTCGTGCCAGGAATCAAACCCAGACCCTGTACACAATAGGCACGCACCCTAATCACTGCTTTCTCCCTCCCTGTGAAAACTGTACCCTATTCTGTTCATCACACACACACACAATCATCCTGTTGTTCGTCGATTGCCTCGAGCAGGCCCTAGTAACGTCTCCTTCAACCTAGCCCTGAGATTGTAAAAAGTGCCATATTCAAGGCTCTTTCAGAGTTAGGAGAATGAGACCCACCATTGTTACTGTTCATAAAGAAGAAAGAACTAAGATGTTTGCATTTGATAAAAAAAAAACAAAGTCTAAACATTTGGAGAACTGCTATTTAAAATACAATTTTGAAATACAGGTTAAAGCTGGTTTTGAAAATGTTGCAACAGAATTAGCGAAGAGCAAGCATGCTCTTGTTTGGGCGCAACGAAAGGAAAGTGAGTCTTCCTCTTTGATTAAAGATCTGACCATTATTGTGAAAGAACAGAAAACAAAACTTGCGGAAGTTTCCAAGTTGAAACAGGAAACAACAACAAATTTACAGGTGAGATATTATAATAAATTGTATTTCCTTTAACATTGCTATATTTTGGGGCTGGAGCGATAGCACAGCGGGCAGGGCATTTGCCTTTCACGAGGCCAACCCGGGTTCGATTCCCAGCATCCCATGTGGTCCCCCAAGCACCGTCAAGAATAGTTCCTGAGTGCATGAGCCAGGAGTAACCCCTGTGCATCACTGAGTATGACCCAAAAACGCAAAAGAAAAAAAAAATTGCTGTATTTTCTCTAATGTACTGTGATGATTTGGGGAACTATGAACTTTAAATGATAGTTATTTATATTTTACATATGTAAGAAAATATAAGAGAGTAATACAGGAGATTTAAGCCGTAATTTCCTGTCTTTTGGCTTTTTTTTATTCTGTTTTGGTTTTGTTTTGTTTGTTTGGGGCCACACCCAGTGTTGCTCAGGAGTTACTTTTGGCTCTGCCCTCAGGTATCACTCCTAGTGGTATTCAGAAGACCAGATGAGGTGCCTGGCATGCTACACACTGTACTATCGCTCCAGCCCTTAAGCCATAATTTTATAGACTAAATAGAGTATAGGCCGAACATGATTGCCACTCAATGCCTCTTTTTGTAAACCACAGCACCCAAGAGGAGAGAGAGAACAAAAGGGAATGCCCTGCCACAGAGGCAGAGTGGGACAGGGAGGATGGGGTGTGGGAGGGATACTGGGACCCGTGGTGGTGGAAAATGGGCACTGGTGAAGGGATGGGTACTCGATCATTGTATAATTGAAACCTAAGCACAAAAATTTGTAAGTCTGCAATTGTACCTCATGGTGTTTCACTAATAAAAATTTTTTTAAAAATTCATAGACAATTTTTTATACTAAAGTAGTATTTGAATTCAGAGCCCTAAGCACCGCCAAGTGTAGTGCCCCCACCCCCTCAAAAAAAGTAATGATGATTCTTATACTTTTCACTATGCATTCTGAATCAGAAAATTATAATGTTGTAGTGTTTAATATTTTTGTGTTTCTTCTGTCTGCTACCTTTAAAAATTTAAAAATTAGGCTGGAGCAATAGCACAGCAGTAGGGCCTTGCACACAGCCGGCCCAGCCAAGCCGGGGTTCAATTTTTCCGCCCCCCTCGGAGAGCTTGGCAAGCTACCGAGAGTATCTCGCCCACACAGCAGAGCCTGGCAAGCTACCCGTGACGTATTCGATATGCCAAACACAGTAACAACAAGTCTCACGATGGAGACGTTACTGGGCCCACTCGAGAAAATTGGTGAACAATGGGAGGACAGTGATACAGTGATACAGTGAAGTAGTATTTAAGTAAAATAGATTAATTTCAAGAAATGTGATCTGTAAGCAGGTACCAGTGATACCAAAACATAGCAAAATCTATGATGTTTACTGGTAGGTGGTTGAATTGCAGTTAGTAAGTTGGTGGCAGAGATAGTTGGTGGTTTTAAAATATATCTTGCAGTTGTAATCTTCAAATCAATTTCTTTGTTGCCTTTTTTTTTTGTCTTAAACATTAGCGATATTTTACCAAACAGAATTTACTCTCTGCGAGTGACCTTTTAGTCTGTGTGGTAGGAAAATTTGAGTGTTATTGTTTACTTGCTCTTGTTAGGTGTTGTAACAATATTTTGTTAAAGATTTTGACTATTTGTTTCATGCTCTACATTTGTTTTTCATTAATAAAATTAAAACTTTTGAGATGTGAAATTTAGGAACATTTATATTTATTTAAATAAGATATTTTCCCCTCATTGTAAAATGCCAAAGTTGAAAATAAAGATGCACTTAAATAAAAGTATCTCGCTTTCTCCCCCTCTCTGATGCTTTTGGGGTAACACAGAATCAAATCAATACCCTTGAATTATTGATTGAAGAAGACAAGCAGAAGAGTATTCAAATAGAAGTTCTCAAGCAAGAAAAAATCCAGCTTATTTCCGAACTAGCAGCCAAGGAGTCACTAATTTATGGCTTAAGGACAGAAAGAAAAGTGTGGGGACATGAGCTAGCACTGCAAGGTAAAGTTCTCAGATTTTTACAGGGAAAATGGCCTTTCTAAAATATGCAAGAATCCCAGGTTCGTTCTGCATTGCCACATGGTGTCTCAAACACCCTAACACTCTCCATCAGGAATGACCCCCTGAGCACTGCTTGGGAGCACCCCTGCTAACAGAAATAATAAATATTACATGTCTGAGTTACATGGTTGATTGTGATTTTAGGTTTTTAAATAGCCACAGATGCACAGAAGGCCACAGTGTCCTCTTTGCCTCTCCTCTTCAAATGATGCTAGTATATCTTTTGTTTCTCTTTTCAGTTTTTCTCTTTATTTACCATATTTAACTCTTACTGTATTATGCACTTAATTGAGATCCTATGGTCTTCACTACTGTTAATAGTTTCTTGTGCATGTAATTGCAACGCCATTTTCTATCACCAGTATAACACCTCTCAGCCCTCCTCCCCTCTATTCAATTGTTTTCAGCAGTTCTCCAGTTTTGTTGCCTTTGACCTCTGTCGCTACCTCACTGTGTATCTTTAAGGCCCACACTTAGGAGAGATAATTAGGTTTCTCTCTCTTTCCTTCTGACTGATTTCACTGGATATAATATCCCCTAGTCCATCCATGTGGCTACAAATTGCATGATTTTGTCTTTAGAGCTCCATGGTATTTCTCTGTGTGTACATATATACCACGACTCCTTGATCTTAGGAGTTGGGTGTTTGAATTTTTTCCATATCTTGGCTCTGTACTAAATGCAGTGGTGAGCATAGATATGTCGATAGCCTTTCAGATTTGTAACTGCATTTCTCAAGTATGTATCGTAAAATGCCAATCTTCTCAGGTCTGTTTTAAGTTCATTACTGGTTTGTTTGATTTTTTTTTTCTTTAAGGATCTTCTCTAGCTCAAAGCCGTGGGAAGTTAGAGGCTCAAATTGAAAACTTATGTAGAGAAAATGATTCTCTGAGAAAGGCAAGTGAACGTGATAGCGACGCATTAAGGATTAAATGCAAAATCATAGACGACCAAACTGAAACCATTGGGAAATTGAAAGAGGTAAGCCTGACATTTTACAAAGAAGTAAATGGCCAGTTTGAAAATCTGTGCATCTAAAGTTTTGTCTCAGTGACTCCCAACTATTGTGTTATCATGTTCCTTTTATATTTGCTTCTTTGCTTCTAAACGTAGTGGAACATCATCTCTTTATTAATTTAAAATTATGTTTACTCAAAATTGTGTGGGGAAAAAAATATTATGGCCCTTGGAGGTAACGAAAAATAGTGTTGCTTAAGGGTTAGGAATCAAAATTAAATTAATTTTTCCTGTATATGACTATGCATTTAAGGGGTCAGAGAGCTAGTTCATTGAATAAAATGCCTGCCTGGCAAGTGGCTCACCAGGTTTGGCCCATTGTGCCTTTTTTTTTTAAATTCTTATTTCTGGGCCAGAGCATTAGTACAGCTGGTAGAGCGCTTGCCTTGCATTTGGCCAGATTGAGTTCAATCTCTGGATCCCCTATGGTCCCTCAAGCCCCACCAGAAGTGATTCCTGAGTGCAGAGCCAAAAGGAAGCCCTGAGCACTGCCAGGCGTGGTCCCCAAACCAAAAATTAAATAGATAGAATTATTTCCAAGCCTCTTCTCAAGTCTCTTTTCTGGCTTGTCTTTCCAGAAAACACTGAAAGGACCATTTGTTTCAGAGTAACACTGTAGCACGGGCACCAGTAATGTCTCCATTGTGAGACTTGTTACTGTTTTGGACATATTGAACACATCACTGGTAGCTTGCCAGGCTCTGCTCTGCGGGCAGGATACTCTCGATAGCTTGCCAGGCTCTCCAAGAGGGACAGAAGAATCGATCCCGGGCCAGCCATAAGCAAGGCAAACGTCCTACCTCCTGTGCTATAGCTCCAGCCCTAGTTATCACTCCAGCTCTTAAGCACTTAAGCACTGAATCAAATCTGAATTTTTTTTAAATTATATTCTCTCTTCCGAGATCAGATATGCCAGACACAGTAACAACAAAGTCTCCAATGGAGACGTTACTGGGCCCGCTCGAGCAAATCGATGATCAACGGGAGGGCCTTTACCTTTACCTTACCTTTATTCTCTCTTAAAAGATAAAAATAACTGAGGAAAGTATCTCTAAGAAACTTGTATGTGGAATATTCAGCCACAAAGTTAGGAATTTCTCACTTAAAGTAATTTTAACTACATGCATTTTTTTCTTAGTCATTTTAAAGAAACTCCTTAAGAATTTAATTTCTTGAAATACAGAAAATAATCATTTATCCACACTATTGCTTCTGTCCTTAGCTAAAGATTGGCTTCCTCATACTCAGAACTTCAAATATATCTCTCCTCTATGCCAAACTGCTCTGAAAATTATTTTGGAAATTTTTTAGCAGCTAGCTTTTTTTTCTTTTAAAAATCTAGCCTCAAAAGAATTATCTTTATTTCTTTCTCTCCTTGCATCTTTTTAAATTTCTTTCAATAAAAATTGTTCTGCTTCACACACATACACAAACAAAATTAAACCTAGCCTTAAATTAAAATACGTTAGGTATTTTCTATTTTCTAAATATGAAATATGAAATAGATATGATTTGTGTCTGCATTTAAATTTGTGTTTGTTTTTATTGGCTCTGGGTTTTTTTTGAGGGGGGTGAGGGGGTTGGTTGCTTGTTGTTTTGTTTTTAGATCACACCAGTGATAAGCGTAGCTTGGGGGGGACCATCTGGGGTGTAGGGATGGAACCCAAGGTTGGTCCCCGCATGCAAGGCAAGTGCCTCACCTATCTCCAGCCTTGGCACAGTGTTTTAATTTTGTTTTGTTTTTATTTATTTTTTAATTAATGCCCCATGAGTTACAAAGTCGTTCATTCTTAGGTTTTCAACATTCTGTGCTCCATCACCAATCACACCACCAGTGTCTTCTTCCGACCAGCTCTCTGGGTTCCCTCCCTCCCACCCAGCTCTGCCTGCCACATTTTAAAGTTGGTTGTTGGAGTTTGGATCTCCTGTCTTCAGCGTTGTTGAGTCCATGGTCTGGATACTGGGCTCCACGACTCCTTTACACCACCTCCGTGCCCTCATCTCCCTGGCTTCTGCTCCTCATAGCTTCCAGTCTGTCTTCCATGGTCAATTTTCTTTCCTTCTCTGGCCTTGTCCTCCCTGTACTCTAGGGTCAAGGGTGATCAAGGCATCCTCCCTTTCAAGCCCTGCATTCTCTTGTTCAGTTCTTCTATATACCACATATAAGTGAGAACATCCTGTGTTCGTCTTCTTTTTCTGGCTTACTTCATTTCATAGGTTGGAGCTATGGCACAGCAGGCAGGGTGTTTGCCTTGCACGGGGCCCACCTGGCCGACCTGGGTTCAATTCCTCCGTCCCTCTCGGAGAGCCCGGCAAGCTACCGAGAGTATCTGGCCCACACGGCAAAGCCTAGCAAGCTACCCGTGACCTATTCGATAGGCCAAACACAGTAACAGGTGTTCCAATGGAGACATTACTGGGCCCGCTTGAGCAAATCGATGAACAACGGGAGAACAGTGACAGTGACTTCATTTCACATATCTTCCTGTTCCATCCACGTTGCAGCAGATTGCATGATTTCAGGCTTTCTTTGTAGCTGCACAGTCATCTTGCAGATGTTTTCTACAAGCAAGCCCAGCCCCGGTCGCAGGCATGCCTCACCAGAAAGACCCCTCCACTGAGGACCTTTGCTAAGCTTAGTGTTCCTTTGTTCAGCATGTCCCTTCCCTTCTCCAAGGAACACACACTTCTTCTGAAGGCCAGGAAACCTCTGCGGATTCTCTGCCCACTGCACTCTCCTCTCCCGGACATGATTCTTCCTTTTCCCCCAGGCAGCCTGGAGTTGGGGCGAGCTGTTTGTGTATCTCTTGCCCCAACTGGGCTAGGAACTCTGCTGGGCTCTGGGCTTTTCAACTTTGGTATTTTCTAAGAGCCCAGCTGCAGTGACCAGGCCCCTGGGAAATAGATGACAGGTGCACGGTTTGGGTCTTGGTCCCTGCCCTCTCAGCTTCCTGTTCCACTTTCCCTCAATGGGGCCCCTGCCTCAAGGGGCAGCCTGGCACTCACAACTGCAAACACTGCAGAATTTTGCTCTTTGCTGTGTTCACTTCCCATCAAACCTCTCCCTGTATCTCTGTGTCTTTGCATCTCTTCTGTCCTCCCTCTTAGCTGCACAGTGAACTCAGAGTTTACAGTAAAAGCACAGGATGAGTTGAATGATGCTCAGCACAGTGTTTTAGATCTATTTTCCCAGTCGGATTGTTTTTATTTGTCCGTGAGCAGAGACTTGGAAGGAATTGTAACGCATGACACTTTTGTGCCAAAACTCAGATGATTTTGATTTGAAAATTCAAACTTCAGATTTTGGCACATTTTTAAAAAATTACTATATTTTTTTGCTCGATTTGCTCTAGCGGGCCCAGTAACGTCTCCATTGGAGACTTTGTTGTTACTGTGTCTGGCATATCGAATACGTCACGGGGAGCTTGCCAGGCTCTGCCCTGCGGGCGAGATACTCTCGGTAGCTTTCCGGACTCTCCGAGAGGGGCAGAGGAATCGAACTCCAGTCGGCCATGTTGGCCGCTTGTAAGACGAACGCCCTACCCGCTGTGCTATTGCTCCAGCCCTATATTTTTTAAAGAAGATTTTTACCAGCTTCAGGGTAATGCACATTTGCAGTATTTATAGCTAAATGCATAACATATAGAGATAGGTATAATATCTTGCAGCTATAAATTTATCATACCTGATACTTTAAAAGGAGTAATAACTAATATGCAAAACCTGATATTTAATATTTCAAAGAAAGTCTATACTTCTGCTTAAATACTCTGTATATGTACATATATGTACATGTTTCTCCCCATGCTTTTCTTTTTGTTTTTCTCTCCATCTATTTTTTACCTCTTAAATATGTATGTGGGCTGGAGCAATAGCACAGCAGTAGGGCATTTGCCTTGCACGCAGCCAACATGGCCGACCCAAGTTCGATTCCTCCGCCCCTCTCCAAGAGCCCGGCAAGCTACCGAGAGTATCTCGCCCGCGTGGCAGAGCCTGGCAAGCTCCCCGTGACGTATTCGATATGCCAGACACAGTAACAACAAAGTCTCCAATGGAGACGTTACTGGGCCCGCTTGAGCAAATCGATGAACAACGGGAGGACAGTGACAGTGACAATTATGTATGTATCACAACACTGTTATGCTGCAATATTATCTTCCATTAATATGATTTCATTAGAATCCTTTCTAGATTTTGTGAATTCCTAATAATATATGTCAAGACTGACCCCACTCACTAGGTGCTTCAGAGAATCATGGGAAGAAAATTAACATTCTTGACTCTTATGCACATATAAAAACTACGTGGCAAGTTTGCTAGGAATTTTTAGACATTAAAATTCTTTTTCAGGTAGAATCCCAGACCACAATTTTATAGTACTTATAAATCCACATTTAAATTAGCTTTGCCTGGTATTTTATTTGTTGGTTTTCATCTTCTCAGACAGAAAATAAAGAGGCAAGTTGGGGTCAGGGAAACAGGGTAGAAACAAGACCCAAATTCATCTTTTCTTACTTGCAGAGACTTGTGTTAGTAATTGGTATATAGCAGGTTCGAGACATCCAGACATGCCTTCATGAGGGCGTAAGCAGACAGATCCCATTGGAGTCAGTAACGTATGTGAGACCTAATTCCTGCAAGTTTTTAACAGTACCAAGGGTGGTTTGATCTTTTATTACCCTCTGATTTATATTATGTAAATGTAGGGTGAAGCCTGATTCATAGTACAGGAGAGATAATAAAAGAAAGCCTATGTTTATGTGACACTTGCTCTTCACAATGCAGAAAGCATGTATTTAGCAAAATAGAAATAGCAGATTCACTCTTTCCATACATGAACAGTACACGCCAGTCTTTACTATATCCTTACTAGGCCACCTAGAATTTTCTTTTTGTAATAAAAAAATGAAAAAGATCTTGTCAAATGTAAAAGCTATGTTAATATTTTTCACTGTGCCTTTTTGCTACTCTCTACTATTACTTCTCTGAATAACTGAAATTAAAGTTACAAGTAAATGAAAATATTATCAGCATAGTACTTAAATCAGTGGTGATGATTCTTAATGGGATAAAAATGTTCTGTAAATCTTTCTTAAGAATTGAACATTCAGTTTATCTTTCTGTCATTTTTAATTAATTATAGGCTATATCTAATTAAGTAGGGAATGAGACATTTTGGATAAAGTATTGATTTTTTTCTTAAAGAATTTACAGGAAAGAGATCAACAAATCAAAGTGCTACAAGAGAAGATCAGCGAGATAGAAAAATATACTCAGGAACAGCTTGATGAAAAGTCTTCACAACTGGATATAATATTTGAGAAATTACAAAGACACGATGAAAGAAAAGACAAACTAAAACAGCAGTTGAAATTAAAGGAAGTAGAACTTGAAGAGATTAGAAACGCTTACAGGTATTCAGTATTTCTTGTCGAGAAATAAATTGTCCTTTAATAATTTCCTATAATCAGTTTTTATTATAGATGTCAGCCGCGCGACATCTTATTATGACACCTTATTATCTCATTCCTACTTTGGACAAACTGGCAGGCTACCGAATGTAGCCTGCCCACACGGCAGAGTCTGGCAAACTCCCCGTGGCGTACCCAATATGCCAAATACCAGTAACAACGATGGGTCTCATTCTCCTAAAGAGCCTTGAATATAATCTCAGGGCTAGGATGAAGGAGACGTTACTGGGGCCTGCTCGAGGCAATCGACGAATAACAGGATGATTTGTGATTTGTGATAATCAGTTTTATTTTTTTTTTGAATTCTCATATTAGTACACTTAATCAGAAGTGGCATGAAAAAGGAAAACTTCTGAGTCATCTTGAAATTCAAGTCAAAGAAGTGAAAGAAAATTTTGAAAATAAGGAAAAGAAACTTAAAGCAGAAAGAGATAAGAGTATTGAACTACAAAAGTAAGTGCTAAAAGAAGTGGGATATCTTTAAACAAAAAAAAACTGAATTGGGATAAATGAAGTGCTGAGAAAGAGGGCAACAGACGGGGCGCTTGCCTTGCCCGCTGCCAAACCATGTTCCATCCCCGCATCCTATGCAGTTAGTTCCTCGAGCACCAGCAGGAATGACTCCTTAGTGCAGAGCCTTAGCATCTCCGGGTTTGCAACCCCAAAAGAGGGCTGCTGTGGTAGTCCACTGGGTAGAGTGCTTGCCTTCTTCTTTTTCAGCCTGGGTTCTATCCCCGGGAGTGCAAACGGTTCCCTGAGCCCCTCCAAGATCCTTCAAACAGAGTCAGAACTAAGTCCTGAGCACCACCAGGTATGAAACAAAAACACACAAAAAAGTATTTAGGAAGAGAGAACAAGCTAATAATATATTGGATATAGTAATTTGGGCTGGAGTGATAGTACAGCAGTAGGGCGTTTGCCTTGTGAGCAGCCAGCTCGGCCAAGCCGGGTTCGATTCCTCCGCCCCTCTCGGAGAGCCTGGCATGCTACCGAGAGTATTCAATATGCCAAACACAGTAACAAGAAGTCTCACAGTGGAGACATTACTGGGCTCTCTCAAGCAAAGTGATGAACAACGGGAGGACAGTGTTTGACAGTAATTTGTGGCTGGAGCGATAGCACAATAGGTAGGGCATTTGCTTTGTATGCGACTAACCTGGGTTCCATTTCTCTGCCCCTCTCAGAGAGCCCAGCAAGCTGCTCAGAGTATCCCACGCGCACGGCAAAGCCTGGCAAGCTCCCCGTGACACATTCAATATGCCAAAAACAGTCACAACAAGTCTCACAATGGAGACGTTACTGAGCCCGCTCAAGCAAATCGATGAACAAAGGGAGGACAGTGACAGTGACTGTTTTCAAACGCTGAGTGAAAGCAGCTCATGATACTTTGGGATGTTTTAAGTGAAATTTAGAGGGGGGGTGTTGGTCAGAGGAGTTCCAAAGACCAGAGCAGCTGTTGATAGCCATTTCCCTGCCCAGGGGCCCGAGAGCTGAATAAAGCAAGGGAAGAAAAGATGTACCTGGAGGCCATTGCTGTGGGAACATAATAAAATTAAGTAAAGGAAATGAGGCTTTTACCTTATAAATGCTGTTACTAGACTAAATTCAGGAAGTAGTCAGTCTTGAAAAATGGGTTTCATAATTTCATTTGTAAATTCTTATATGCATATGGTATAGAGATCCCAAAATCTCAGATAGAGCTAAGTTCCTGTTAGACCAAACGTAACAGAACCTCAAATTTTATTTGCGATGGAGGAGCCACACAGATTGTTTTGAGGACACTCCCGGTTGTACTCAAGGACCATATCGTTCCAAGGGTCAGCCTTGGACTCCTGCCTGCATTGCTAATGGACCCTGTTCCACTTTACTCTCAATTAAGGCCCTCCCGTTGATCATCAATTTGCTCGAGCGGGCCCAGTAACGTCTCCATTGGAGACTTTGTTGTTACTGTGTCTGGCATATCGAATACTCTCGGTAGCTTGCCGGGCTCTCCGAGAGGGGCGGAGGAATCGAACTCGGGTCGGCCATGTTGGCTGCGTGCAAGGCAGACGCCCTACCCGCTGTGCTATCGCTCCAGCCCTTTCAATTACTTACAATAAAGGAAATTTGCCTTGGGAACTGTTGTGATTTTCTCTCCTGCCAATCATAACTTGGCTCTTAGGGGTCCTTTAGATCAGCATTTCTCAATAAGGGCCCCCAGGATATTCTAAGAGGGCCACTGGTGAAAATCAGGTAAATGAGGGCGGGCTTAGCAGAGATTAGGGAGTCAACCAGTAGGGTAGAGTGATGGGACATAGGAAAAGAGAGGTCACGAGGGTGCCGTGGTCCAAAGAAGGTTAAGAAACCCTGCATTGGATTCTGAAAGAAATTTATTTCTTACAGCTGTTCTCTCTCTTTGGGTGGGGAAGTAGATGTGGTGGTGCTGGTGTTCAAATCCAGGGCCTCAAACACACAGCCCCCAGTCGTGTGGCCAGGAGTAGCCTCAGCAGCTGTGTAACCCCCCCAAAATTTTAAGGCTTAACAATGTTCGACAGTTTGTTATATTGCCTTATTTTTGCATTAATAGCAATAGTAAAGACCCAAACTTTTTTTTTCCTTTTTGGGTCACACCTGGCGATGCACAGGGGTTACTCCTGGTTCTGCACTCAGGAATTACTCCTAGTGGTGCTCAGGGGACCATATGGGATGCTAGGAATCGAATCCGGGTCAGCCATGTGCAAGGCAAATGCCCTACCCGCTGTGCTATCACTCCAGCCCAAGACCCAAATTTTTTTAATGCTTTATGACTAAGATAGGTTGGTATATATGATTTTTAATCTAGTTTATCTTTTAAAAAATAAGCAATTATTGTTAGCAAAAACAATTTACTTTTGAGTTGATTTAAATATATAAATTATCTTTTCCTTTTCATATATAGTTTTAAATTCAATGATAATTTTTGTGAGGTTAGCTAAAAATGGAAGATTATCCTAATTTGTAGTGGAGGTTTAGGCATTATGATCTTAGTCATATTTACTAAGTGTTAACAACTAAGAATCAAAGAAACAATTTAACTTTATCTTTCACCTGAACATTGAATTTATTACTATGGGTTATACCATAGCTAGAAAATCTTGGACTTCACTATCCTAATAAAGTTGTTCATATTTACTATGCATGGCAGAGTTCATATTTAGTATAAGGCAGAACCTGGCAAGCTCCCCGTGGTGTATTCGATATGCCAAAAACAGTAACAATAACGGGTCTCATTCCCCTGACCCTGAAAGAGCCTCCAATATGGCACCGTTTGGAAGGACGAGTAAGGAGAGGCTGCTAAAATCTCAGGGCTGGGATGAATGGAGACACTACTGGCACCCACTCAAACAAATCGATGAACAACGGGATGACAGTGATGCAGTGATACATATTTTCTATAGAGGAATTGACGTCTGTTGCTAGAAACAAGATCTTGTCTATTAAACATTAGAATAAGGAAATCGGACTAACATAAACTTAAGCCTACCACAATGTGTAAACTCGAGAAAGACAGCACAGCAGCAGCGGCTCTGTCTCTCCTGCCGCCCACATTCGGTAGTCTCACGCTGGTTCCCCCACCCCGGGAAGGTCGATGGTGGGCAGGCAAAGGAAGGAACGAGGGACAGGCTGGTTGGTCTTAGTTGCAGTTTGTTCCATTCCCATCTCCATTCTCTTCTGATTCTCCTCCTGCTTCTTCCTCCCCCGTGCTACTTCATTCTCCTCAATCCCCCTTCATCCTCCTTCTCTGGAGTCTGGATTCTGATCCTGATCCTCTCAGCCCACTCTCACAGTCTAGTTAAATCCCCAAGCATGAGGGGCTGGTGCTTACACATAGGTGTGGTCACGATCAATAGGGGTAGAATTCTTTCCCTCGGGGAAAGCCGCTTCTAGGATAGATACTCTCTCAGCAGGACGACCCACCCTAGAGCAGAATCCCATGGGTGTGTTTCTCCTCTCCTTGTCCAGCAAACATAAAAGCATATATAATATAAATCATTTTGTATGGATACAGTAAGAAATACCTTAAACTTATAGAATTGCCCTCCTAGGGCCATCTCGATCTCAGCCTACAGTGCTCAGGCCAGATAGTCTTTCCTATCCCTAGCAGGGTCCTACTCTCGTCGTTACTTTTGGATCATGACAGCATTTGTTTATGATCAAGCTCTTAACTTATTGTTAAGAATCGTGGCACTTTGGCCTGACCCATTTGGATGCCAGGGTAGCTCGCCGCTTGCCCTGGGTCCATTCAGTCCCTCGTTGGGACCCTGCTTTTGGGGTGTTAGGAACTAAGGGCAACTGAGGCTTAAGTCGAGAAAGCAGATGCCCGGGAGTGAATAATGTTCAAAGCCAATTAAATCCTAAGATACAAAGAATAATATTAATGGTCTCCCTGTATCTATACAAAAAGGACATTGCTTTAAAGTAAACTATTCAAAAGACATAAGGAGAGGAGAAAGGCAATATTTCACTCATACATACAAAATCATAGATTTCTGAGGAATCTAACCTTACAAGTTAACAGAGTCTGATTAGGGGGAAAGCTGATTAACTGGTTAGGGAGGAGAGCATAGGGAAGAATTTACAGATAAACACAATGAAATGGAAGTGCCTCAGGAGCACTGTGATGGGTGTAACCTGATAAACCTAAGCTCCTTGTGGAGAAAGGGAGAAAGGACAAAGCAATGTCATCCTACACCGTAATGTACATAATTCAAATGATTGCACTGCAAATGTATACAAAAAAAAAAACTTGACAGTTATTTGTGAAGGTGCTTATAAACCATGCCCTTGAATTCTAAATATATGAGAACCAGAGTACTCTTAATTTTCAACAGGTAAATATGTAACAAAGCTTACATTGTTAATGCCATACCCTATTCTATTACATATCTTTAGTTAACGGCAGATCGCCTTTTGCTGCTTCATGGAATTATGCTCCCATTCAAATATGGAAGTAAAAACTGCCTTATTTCTGTCTGTAGAGAAATATCCCAATCTGCATACACATAGACAGCTATATGGTTTTGTTTTGTGTTTGAGGGATGCATTAGAAAAGCTTCATATTATGGATGGCGCCTTTAAGAAGCAAGTTGATGCCATAGTTGAAGCTCATCATGCTGAAATAATACAGATGGCAAGTGAAAAGAAGAAATGTATCGAAACTGCAAATTTAAAGGTACTGTAATTAAATTTATCCTGATACACAGGATTAAATTATTATTGCTAAATAAATGGAATGCGTTGAAGACTGGGGACTTAGGGTCAGTACTCATGCCATGCTTCCACGCATGAGCCCCTGACTTTGATCCCTGGCGGTGTCTGGCCCCCAAGCATCACTCACTTTGGACATCCACCCATTCTGAATTAATTAGAATATGCATGAGAATAAAATTTTGATAATTTTAATTTTAGAAATGTAAGTGTTCGGGGGGCAGGGAGATAGCACAGGAGTTAGGGACACATACACCAGTTCAGCTCTGTTGGCTATCGCCCTGGGCCCTCAACCCCAGTATGGCCTTAATGGTGCCAGGCGCTTCGGGTTCTGAGCACCACCGTATCCTTGGACGGTGGCATCAAATTGTGGCATGGTTGGCCATGTCTCATCGGGAATGGGTCTCTGAACCCTGAGTGCGTTGTGGGGGAGACCCCTCCAAGAAAAGAAGGAAAATAAATGAATGAGTGTCTTAAAACTCGTCTGTTGATTTAGGTTTGTCAAGTTGAAGACGAAATGCGTGGACTTCTGGAAGAAACGTGCAAGAACAAAAAAGCAATGGAGATGAAAATTAAGCAGCTTGCCTGTGCTCTAAGTGAAATTCAACAAGAAATGTGATAGTTTAGAGAACAAACTTAACTGGAAATGGACCACCAGACCTATTGTAAAAAATGATTAAATATTGTAGTAGTAGTAACTTCTGTGACTTTGAAATGTCTCTTTCTACACTTTTCATTCTGATTATATTTTTAAAGATTTGATCAAGTATTGTATATGTAGGTTTATATAATAAATTATTGATAATTATATGTATTAGAAAGTCTATCAAAAGAACTAGGCTTAAGACACTTTCTTATTTCTGTGTTATACAATGTTTAGTTTTTACACATTTGCCTATAAATATGTAAATTAAGATTAGTATTTTGACTACTTGAGAGGGAGTATTTTAGTCACTGTTGTTATCTTATTGTGTTGATAAAGGACTAATTATATACATTGGTTATCCTTTAGTTGATGTAGCTCTATTCTTTTAAAACCGTGTTAAGCATAGCCAAAAATATTTAGGGGCTGGAGGAAACAGCTCACTGGTAGAGTGCTTTCCTCCCTCGCATGGTAGGATGTGACCCCGCGTGCCTTCAGGGATGATTGTATCTGAGTGTCTGACCGTCGGGCTCAACCAATGTGAAAATCATCAGACTGGCCCCTGCGCCATCCCCAAAGCACCTCTGAGTGAGGCCTCGATAAAATAAAAAATATTGGAAATCTGTAAGAGATGTGCCAGCTGAAGAACTCATCTTTAGTGCTCTCTACACCATTCTTAATTGGGAGTTTCCAAAAATAAAGGGTGGTGCGATGGGCCTCGAGCACAGGAAGGAACATTCAGTGACCAAGAGCTGACAGGCAAAAAAAGGAGGAAACGGAGACACAGGAGCCAGACCCCAGGCTGGTCGGTAGTCAGTTTATTCCTCTCTCCTTCCTGGTGTCACCGGATCTCTCCGTTTATGGTGCAGTCATAGTCATCGTTTTGGCCATAGTCCCAGTCATCAGAGTTCCATCATCCTAGTCTCCTCGTAGACCTCAAAGTCCTCTCCTCGTTATATCTTCTTCCTCGTCTCGATGTAGTCTCATAGTCCTTGACTTCCAGTCATCATCATCATCTGGTACTCCTTCTACTACCAAACTCTCCAAAGTCTCAGTTCTCCTCCTCGTCAACCTTCTCATCCTCAACGTATCATCCTCATTGTCAAGTGCTGACTTTCTCTAGTACCCAACGTCTAGCCCCAGTGTATCATCTTCATCTCCCTCCCAGAGTCTAGTCTTCACTTGCTCCTTCCCAGCATCGACTTCTCAGAGTCTAGTCCCCTCTTCCCCTTTACAGCATAGTTATATAGGAATCATGAAGGGTGGGAATACAAGGGTGGGGTTGAGCATTATCATAACAACAAAGAGAGGTAAAGCCTCTCCTTCAGGAGATTAGCTCAAAAATCTCATCTGAGGATTCAGCACTCCAGATTACTAGGAGATCCGCTCCAGAGAGGGATTCCATCTAGGGAGTATTGCTTTCTCCTTTCCTCAGCTAGTAATCCATTTAAACAGTCATAGTAAATTTACTTCTCATAATATTGCTAGCAATGCCATTTTGTATGAACACAGAGATATATTAAGCTTAAAGATTGGCTCTTCCCGGGGACATCTTGCTAAATATTCCAGGCCAGAGTTCTCGGGCCAGGTTAGTCTTTCCTAACCCCAGAAGGGGCCTTATTGAGTTATTTCTTTTTGGGTCATAACAGAGTTAGTCCATAACCATGCTCTTAATTTACAGTTAAGTATTATGGCTCTTTTCCTGGCCCATTTCGATGCCAGGGTAGCTCACACCTTGCCCAGGGTAGCTCACAACAAGTCTCTCATTGGGCCCCTGCTCTTAGAGTGCTAGCAACTAAGGGCAACTGAGGCTTAACAATAAGTCAAGCTGGGGCTGGAGCAATAGCACAGTAGGTAGAGTGTTTGCCTTTCACCTGGCCGACCCAAGTTCGATTCGCAGCATCCCATATGGTCTCCTGAGCATCGCCAAGAGTAATTCCTGAGTGCAGAACCAGGAGTGACCCCTGTGCATTGCCGGGTGTGACCCAAAAAGCAAAAAAAAATAATAAGTCAAGTAAATATGGATGCCCAGGAGTAAATATCATTTTGGAGACAGTTAACCCCCATATTATGTAGCATAGCATCAACCATCTTCCTGTGTCTATACAAAAAAGACGTTGCTAAGTAAACCGTGCAAATGACATAAAGGAAAAAGAAAAGCAATATAGGAGTATTAGCGGCTGGAACAATACAGTGGGTAGGGCATTTGCCTTGCATGTGGCCAACCACCCGGGTTTGATTTCCAGCATTCCATATGGTCTTCCGAGCACTTCCAGGAGTAATTCCTGAGTGCAAAGCCAGGAGAAACACCTGTGCATCACCGGGTGTGACTCCAAGAAGCCAAAAAAAATAAATAGAAAAGAATTATTAGTGCCTGATGGAATTGGATGTGCCTCAGTTGCACTGTTGAGAGAGTAGCTCAATAAACCTTAAGCTCCCTGCAGGATTGGAAAAAAACAAATGAATGTTATCCAACACTAAATGATCCCCTTTATATAAACTTTTTTTAAATTAGAAATTGCATTTAAAACATCAGAAACATTTGCTTCTGAAGAACTCCACCACTGGGCCAGGGAGATTCTACGGTGGAGAGCATGTTTACCTTGCACATGGTAGAGCTGGCTTTGATCTCTGGCATCCCTTATGATCCCTGAGCACCTCCAGGAATAAGCCCTGAGAACAGAGCCAGGATTAAGCTTTGAGCACCACTGGGTGTAGTGTCAAGATTTACTCTTATTCTCAACCATGCCCATCTCCCACCCACAAAAAAGAAAAAAATGAAAAATCTATCATTCCAGCCTCATTTTTTTCTCTTGATCATTGTTTATGAAGAAAATTTTTATCTTATAACTGGAAATCATATTCTTTCAAGGCAGGTAATTTATTAACTACGTCACTTTGGATTCTTACGTTCCTTTGCATTCATAACAAAAATCTAAATACTCTCTTTTCATAAGAGAGAATATAAGACCATATTTTAAACCAATAACCATTGAACTAGGTTTTAAAAATTAAATGAAATCAAAAGATGTAAATGCTTCTAAAGAAGAAGAAAATAATCAAATTTGACGTCAGGAGATAGTCCAGGAGTTAAGGTACTTGCCTTGCATAGAATTGACCCCAGTTCAATCTTTAGCAACACATATAGTCTCCCAAACACTGGCAAGAGCAGGAGGAAGCCCTGAGCACAGTCAGGTGTGGCCCAAAAACCAATAAATTAAAAATAGATTGGGGGCTGGAGCGAGTACAGTGAATAGAGCGGCCGACCCGGATTCAATTCCCAGCACCCCATTCAGTCCCCCAAGCACCACCCAAAGTGAGTCCTGAGTGCAAGAGCCAGGAGTAACTCCTGTGCATTGCCTGATGTGACCAAAAAAGCAAAATAAATAAAAATAGATAAAATAAATGACAATCTATGACAATCTAACTTCAGTTAAAACACACACACACCAAAAAAGCAAAATAAATTAATAAAAATAGATAAAATAAATGACAATCTAACTTCAGTTAAAACACACACACACACACATATACACTGCTTTTTAAATTTTTTATTTTATTTTTTGCCTCCTAAGCAGTACTCAGGTGGTCCAAGGACATTCTTTCCAGTGATTCTTGCCTTCTGTATGGTGGGTAGGGCGCTTGCCTTGCACGTGGCCAATCTCCAGTATCCCATATGGTCCCCTGTGCCTTTCCAGGAGTGAGCACAGAGCGAGGAGTAAGTCCTGAGCACCACTGGGTGTAGCCCCCCAAACAAACAAAGCCCTTTATTTCTTTTACTTTACTTTTAATTTAAATATATTAAAATGATACTGTTGGAATATCCTTTATTTAAATGTTTAAGTTACTGGTGTACAATCTTGAAATTCAGGCGTTTATGTTCAGTTTTTTAGAGTCTCAGGAGCCAGGGATAGTTTAGTGTAAGCAGAAGTTGGGAGTTTAATTCCCCGGTCCTCCAGCTGTGCAGACTGCTGGGATGTCCGTGATCTCCAGAACCCTGAGCGATCTCACACCTCATCCAAGCGTGTACACCACAACATCATGTGTGTTCCTGGGTGAACACCACCCCTAACATGTGCGAGACTCGAAACCAGGTGCGGGTTTGAGCCCTGGCCCGTGCAGCGCCAACAACGAGAAGGAAAGGGGAAAGAAAAAGTTTGAAACTGTCCAAGTCTGACACTATTGCTCAGAGTAGATGTTTCTATTTGACTGCCTTTGTGGTTTTATGGTTTTCCATTCCACAATTCTTTCTTGGGGCTGGAGAGATAGCACAGCGGATAGGGCGTTTGCCTTGCACGCGGCCGACCCGGGTTCGATTCACAGCATTCCATAGGGTCCCCCGAGACCCAGGTTCAATTCCCAGCATCCCATAGGGTCCCCCGAGCACTGCCAGGAGTAACTTGAGTGCAGAGCCAGGAGTAATCCCTGTGCATCGCTGGGTGTGACCCCAAAAAAAAAAGCAAAAAAATAAGTAAATAAACACACAATCTACAAATAGCAAAAGAAAAAAGAAACCACAGTTCTTTCTTGCCTTAATCGGCTGTCTTTGTGGCTGTCACAGCTTACAATGAATTGGACTAATCTTGTTAGTTGTTTTTTTTTCTTTTACTTTAATCTATTTACAGACAGAAACTCTGGGCTGGAGTGATAACACAGCCGGTAGGGCATTTGCCTTGCAGGCAGCTGACCTGGGTTCGAGTCCTCGGCAAGCTACCAAGAGTATCCCACCTGCACGGCAGAGCCTGGCAAGCTCCCCATGGCGTATTCAATATGCCAAAAACAGTAACAACAAGTCTCACAATGGAGAGTTACTGGTGCAAATCAATGAACCATGGAGGATAGTGCTACAGTGCTACAGAGATTGTGTTTGATGATAAGTTAGATGCCTTGCCTTTAGAACTCATTATCTTAACAAATGTCTTATTCTCATTGAGAACATAATGGAAGATTAAGTGATCTGCATATTACCACTTCTTTATTCTTTTTCAAACCTTGGGTGAAAGGGGAGGAGTGCTGGCAGATATTGTCTTCTGAAGACTGGTGAAGAGTATTGCTTTTCACGTTCAAATCTCAAGATTCTCATCCATTTGTCAGTGTTAGCAATGCCAGTACACTAACTTGTAAACATTGTGGAATTTACACAAAGAATTTACAAAATTAAGAAATTTACAAAACCTTGTGACTGCTTTTTATTTTTTCACACATACCACTCAGTCCTAGCCCTCTCCACATGCTCAGAGGAGCCTCACACATGAAGGAACCAGCAGAGGAACCCAGGTGTGCGGGACCCCTGGGGCTGAGATCTCCTAGCTTGCTCAGATCAGGACTGGGCTTCCTCCACCCAGATCCCCCATCTTTCAGTATAATA